TTTTTAACGAACAGAACCTTAAAAGGATACTCACAAAACACACTGTAAGTAACGACGAACTCTACAGAGTATTTCGCGACGAAAGCTTCTTTAAATGTCCATAAATTTGTCAAAATAAGTCACAACAAACCAGCCCCTTCTCAACAAGATTTGCAATCATGGCGGCGGCCATGCGGCGGCCCTATGTTTATGTGGCGGCATCTAGGTAATATACACAACAGTATATCAAATAAATACGTTTTTAAAGTAAGTATCAAGGTGAAAAACAAAATTAAACAAATAAAAAATGAAACCTTAATCACGAAGTCTGAAAACTCGAACGAAAAACAAAACAAAAACTTGATCATATATGTTTTATTATACAATTGGTCAAAATCGCTACCTGCCGCAGCTGCGACAACAAAGAAGTGTTCGCTCATTTTTGATTGATGATGATGATGCGTTAAAGTCGCAAAAGTACCCAATGACATTTCAAGTTTACCATGTTTTCTGCTTACGCTGCTAGCGATATCAATATCTTGAAAAGAGCCTAACATAAAATAGCAAGGAAAGTAGCAGATAGTTGTCCACAGAGATTTGGTTGACACGTGGGCATGAATTGAAAATAGATAAGATCAGTTTTGCTGATAAATGGATTGATTTTCTCTTTTTTTGGAAGACAGTGCTAAAGTTAGTGTCACCTATTTTGTATGCTTTCTCAGGCTTTTGATATTGCAGCATCTATGGAGTGAATTTAACAGCAAGGTCAATCCCAGACAGATTCATCAATTCCCATAAGTCAAGCTTTTTTTCTGCTGGTAAGTGCTGGGAAGTATAGAGTATGTGGCAAATACTTCCTTCAAGTATGCATTAGAGTCACCAATTATGAATGATAATGTTCACACACATCAGCTTGCAAGATAACTTTACTCATAGAATGTAGTTAATATAATCATGTAAACTTTTTATAGGTGTGTAATCATGACCTAATTGACTGAGGTGCTTGCTGTTGCTGTTAAAATTTGTGCCATAGGTGCTTGAAATGATTATATTCATTGAAAAGAAGGGAGTCATGATTGCCATGTTAATATTCATGCAATTTGAATTGTTCTCAAAATAGTGTAATCAATCATGCTTATTATAGCAATAGACTAAGACAATAACTAGATTGCTATTTTTGCCGGGCCGGGCCGGGCTGGGCTTGGAATATTTGCCAAGAGCGGGCTACGGGCTGGGCCGGGCTCTGAACCCATGGGCCCGGGCCGGGCTGGGCTGGGGATTTTGGGGCCCGTGGCGAACACTGGCAGCTACCTCCACAGTGAGAGTCAGACCTTTCAGATTATCACACGGGACAGACGGGTCCAGCTGGATGTAATAACTTTATCTGAGACATTGTCGTGCAACTTAGGTGGAGCACAGCGTTAGAATTAATAAGAAAAACAGCGCTCCGATGCTCCGAAGCGAGACCCTTATGTTACATCTACGCGAATCACGTGAGAGGACACGCGAACATAACATGGTCCTGCTGAAAACATTTACTCAAGTTAAAATAATTTCACATAATATTTTACGACGGCGCAGCATGTTCAGCGTCATCAAGGGGACAAATAGTAGCATACCACACGTCATATGGTCACTTTGTCACCATGTGGTCTGCGCGTCTCGTGCCTGCCTCCATGTGCTCACCAGATAAGAAATTTCGGGGAGCTGTTTAGCATACAGTTCATTGCAAATTCCATCGGCGCGCGTGTTTTATGAAACCCGTCGCCAGCTTGCAGGGGAAACTGCAGACAGTATGCTAATAGTCCAGGGGTCATTGTCCAGGTTTGAGCTTGAGTGTCTGCGGGAGACAGGCGTCTTAGGTTCCTGTGGATGAGTGGTAGTTGAACGCCCATCCGAGCAGAGATGGACGGAACGCGCTGACATGGGCTCTGATGACTGCGCCAGTTCGTGTCCAGTTCATGCCTCTGTTTGGGAGTGAAGTGAAGCATCGAAAGATACAGGATTATATTGAAAATTCCGGCCTTAAGTAGTCTGCGGCGTTGGTCGGTACAGTGGTTAAGGTGCTAGCCGTGCTAGTATGTTCAGCGTCTGGAGAAGCTAGCACCAGTGATTTACAAATGTTTGATACCTACGTGAAAACGTCCCAGAGAGGTGAAAACTTCCTCCTCCCACCCCAACGTGAGTTAATCTCGGTTATCGCTTCACACAAAGTGATTTAAGCCCTCATAAATAAGGAGACTGCAACACCGAATGTAAAACTGGACTCTCAAGCTGAGCAGCACGAGGTTCATGGATATATAAAGCTGGCGAAACCACCACTGTGACGCGTATGAATGTCTCCTTTCTCCCTTACATCAGTCGATATCCTTTCACCTGTTGCCTGCTGGATGCTATCCGCCGCCGGCCCGTTACCATCTCAGCCGACCGGCCATTCATTCTTCATTTGTCGTCTCTTCTGCAACACTGCTGTCACACGGCGTCTCGCATACGACAACAAAGCCGGCTTATCGCCAGGCACCGACAGTGTCGCAAACTATACGGACCCCGCGGCGACTGTGAACTGGCAGAGATAGAGGGCTCGGAGGACGGTATGCTCCGTCCCCGCTGCGGTCCGAACCCCGGGGTGCTGGGAGATCCATGACCCCGCGACCGGTCACACACCCCGGACAGACAATGGCGCATTCTTCTCGGAGCTCGGCGTGACCTGCCTGTGTCAGCACTGACCGCCGTGACCCGAGCGATCCGGTGGGACTCGTGCGCGCGCCTGTGCTGGTGGGATACTCGTGAGTCGTGACTGATTGTTGAAGTCCTGATAAAAATGGATGTCTTAATAAACTATCAGTTTCCAAAAGTCCTTAAAATAAAGCAGCAGAGTTTCAACATACAAGATCCACCGCGCATACGATGGCGACGCATCATAGTTTCAAACCGCTTCTTTGGGCCTGGATAAATTAAGCATTCACCCTCGCCTCGTCGGGAGGTTTTCCCCAGTGGGTGTCCTCACGCACTCCCGGCATTTCCGTGTCAACACGGCGCCTCTCCATCGCGAGATCAGCATCAGTGACCGCTCTCGGACAGTGCTGGGCCGTTCGGAGAGGTCAGGGGCCGCGGCCGTGCCTCTCTCAGCCGGCTCGGCCCCGGCGGCCGAGAGCAGAAGAGAGTGGAGGAGAGGAGAGGAGAGGAGAGGCGGCCGGCACCCGGCGACCCTGACCGGGCCGCTCGCGCTGGGTCGACGGCCTCTGTGCGGCCCGCCGTTCCCGCGCCGCCCGGCCCTCAGTTGACTCATGACCCGAGTCGAGGCGGCCGGCGGCTCCTCTGAAGGGCGCCCGCTTCGTCTGCACGAGCAGGCGCCCACGGCTCTACAGGACCGTCCAACGGCGCTCGCAGATCCACAGCGAATGCATTGACATCATAAACGATCGAAAACCAAAAGCCACTCATCTAAACCTCAGCAGTATCAAAGAGTTATCCAACGTCACTTAAAGCTTAGGAAAACTAAGGCCTCTTCCAGCCACTAAAGACTAAAGCTAAAAGCGACCTGTGCCTCATCAGCGTAGCCCTGAGCGCCCCACAGGACCTTCCCTATAAGACCCGCACAGTTACCAAACATAGGGGTTTTCTGGGTCTCATGGGCACCGCCCACGCGGGCTGGTGGTCAGACGGGCCTCTAGAGGGCTGGTCATGAGAAGCTGAATACGGTGGGAGATAGGGTTGACCCTGGGAGAGAGACAGAAAAGATAGGGAGAGGAGACAGAAGGAAAGAGCAGGGAGCACAATCACCGAGCTGGCACGGTCCCGCGGGTCGGAGTCGACGGTCCCGTCCAAGGTGACGTCGCGTCGTAAGCGCGGAGAGTGAACTCGGCACCCTTAGGTGACGTATAGAGGACAAATGCAACGCGCGAGGGCCGAGGGGTGACGGCGGTAAAAGGTTTTTAATTTGCACATAACAAACTCGTAGACATCCATGTTGCAAAAACTTCGTAACCGAAAAATTAAAACGTAGAAACGCAAGGAAGACTTGTTATCAGGAAAGTAGAAAAGTTAGTTCAACGACCCGTTCCATCCCGGGTGAGTCGTGTCACGTGTGGAAGGGGGACAGATTTCCGGTCTATCGCCTGCGCCAGTGGACCGAACAATGCAGCCAAGGTCCACCGTTGTGTTGTCTGTCGGATTGTAAAACCGCAGAGCTCAGCGGAACCTCGGTACGGTTCGTGAGAGGCCCTACCGGTGGCATTGGACTGAAATGCTGACCGGTCAGAGGGGAGGGGTATCGACTCTGAACGCTGACCGGTCAGAGGGGAGGGTTATCGGACTCTGAACGCTGACCGGTCAGCGGGGGCTACCGGTCAGCGGGGGCTACCGACTCTCAATGTTAAAAGGTCAGTAGGTAGCTATGTCCACTCTGAACGCTGACTGGTGAGAAGGCCGGGGGTCAGGGACTCCGCACGCTGACCGGTCAAAGGGGGGGGGGTAGTTGATTCTAAATGCTGACCGGTCAGAGGGAGGGGGCAGTCAACTCTCAACGCTGACAGGTCAGAGAGAGGACCGTCGACTAGGAACGCCGGCAAACACATCCACCCATCATATCCCACTAAGAACACAGGTGCGCTTCATGCACACACCTGTAAGCACACATGTCACCGTTACGTAGAACAGTGATACGACTGCATACAACTGTTGCAGCAAGCTCAGTGTCATGCCTGCTTGCTAGCTTGTACGCTGGGGATTGGTAACTGTTTGTCCAGTGTCTTCATGTTTGGTGGCGACTGATGACTGACGACTGTTGCCCGCTTATATCATGTTGAAATTCCTAGAGTGATTGTTCCAATTTCTCTTATTCCTGAAGGTTCAGTGACAGATTCGTAATGTCAGTCCCCATCTGTGTCCGCTTGGCCGGTGGCAGGTTCCTAGCGACTGCAACCTCTGTGCTTAAAGGGCCAGCTACGTCTATTGTCAGATTCCCTAATGTCTAAGGGTCCGGTAGCAGCTCCCTAACGCCTGCCCCTCTGTGCCTGCAGGGCCGGTGGCGTATGCGCCGGGTCGGGCGGCGGCCACGGAGTCGGCCCGCGCCGAGCCGCCATGGAGTTCACTCCGTTCACCCACCCGGAGCAGCTGGCCACGCTGGCCAAGCCGGAGGACCTGTCGCGCACCGGCACACCAGAGCCGGAGGAGGTCGCCGCGGGCGACTCCAACCACCGGCAGACGGTGCCGGAGACGGAGCCGCTCGACTCCAACCACCTGCCGACGCTGGCTGACAAACAGGCCCAGGCCGCGGCAGCAGCGGGGGACGATGGCGAGCGGCTGCTGTTCGGCTGGGGCGGCTGCACGCCGTCCGTGCTGCAGCCGCTCGTCAGCCAGCGCACCTTCCTGGTGGTGTTCGTGATGACGTGCGTCCTGCAGGGCATGTACTACACGTACGTGGTCAGCGTGCTCACCACCATTGAGAAGCTCTTCCAGTTCCAGTCCAAGACCACCGGCATCCTGTTCAGCGCCACGGAGATTGGGCAGATCTCGGGCGCGCTGCTGCTCACCTACTACGGCGGCCAGGGCCACAGGCCGCGCTGGATCGGCTGCGGCATCGCTCTGTTCGCAGTCTGCACCTTCATGTGCGCCCTGCCGCACTTTATGTACAGCGACCAGCTGGCCACGCTCAACCACGTCAAGGTGGACGCCGGCGGCCGGGACAACCGCACCCTGTGCCCGCCGCCGGGCGTCAAGGGTCTGCTCTCCGACCCGCTAGATTTCGAGGTCGACCTGAACAGCAGTACGACGTTCGGAAGCCTGCTGTTGGCTCGGGACAGTCCTCCCGGGCTGGAAGATGAACAGTGCGAGGACGACCAGCAGGTGACGGCACACGCCGAGATCCGCTCCGTCGTGCTGGCCATCTTCTTCGTCTGCCTGATCGGCGTCGGAGTGGGCCAGACGATGGCCTTCAACCTCGGCATCCCCTACATGGACGACAACGTCAGCAGCAAGGAGTCTCCCATGTACTTTGGTGAGTACTCGACTGTACGCTATGTCAGGTCGCTCAGGGCTTAAGTGCACACTTTGGCAAGCTCTCGTGTACTTAATCACGCGTTGAGCATAGATGGATGCCATGTATATGAACACCACATTGACACTGATATAATCAACCTAAAGTGCAATGATGCATGGCGTTAACCAGAGGTCGATTCGCAGTTTCTTCAGACCCTTAACCTATCCTGTGGGTTGACTAGTAATCCGTAAAATGACGTATCTCTGAGATAGATCATTGTAATCATCAACCAGTTAACGGTTTTTTGAGTGAATAACTGGCTGGTCCCGTGATGCGCTGACTTATAGGTATGTTGTACTATTTTAATTGATTAAAACTTATTTTTTATTTTAAATCTCAACTTAGGTACTAATTAAGATGAGATCATCTCGATGACACATCGGTACGGCAATTATGCTAGATATTGACGGGAAAAAGTCAGGCGGCGTGCGATCAATAAATAGTAATTTAGCAATATTTTGCTCATGATAAAATTTGGAGGTAAACATGTTTACGTATGTACAATCTATCGGTTTGATTTTAACTCTAAAATAATCCAAACAGCTCATTGCATGATAGATGTTTCGCAAGCGTTCTTGTAGGTGATTCCACAGCGCAGTGCTATGACAACCGCCACTGTTTTTGTTTCGCGGCGTGTCGCGCGGCGTGGACCGTGAATGTGAAACTGGCCATTGACGGCGGGCGTCTGTCAGCAGCGGACCGTACCGGGGTGACCTTTGGCAGGTGACCGTGAACGTGGTGGGCGTGGTGGGACGACTCCTGGCCGGCTGCCCCCTCCTCCACCGCGCGAGCGAGCACACCGCGGCCTGCCAACAGCACGTGACGACCCGCCCTGCCCTGTCTCTCCCCCCCGGCCCTCTCCCGTGTGCCGCATCATTACCCATCCTCTGTTTGGTCTGACTCACCGTCAGGTATTCTCTGTTCCTATTCTGCTGACTCTGGCTCATGTTTTTTTTTCACTGTCTCTGTTTGATTCTTAAAATCATCCCACATTGCACCTCTTTATTCGTATTTTGATATCATCTGCCAAAAAATCCTCTTTTGTTTTATCAAAAGAAATGCGTCCTTCGTGTCATTAACATGGCCTTAATTTTATGTTTGTTTCAGTTGAACCATGGTCTTCTTTCTTTTTTGCTTACATGAGGTAGTTATAACAGGCTTCTCGTATTTGGTGAGCATTGTGCGGAACGGGGCACATAGCCCGCTGACCCAGCTACATCATGACGCCTTTGCCCCGGGGGCTTGCGGAGCTGAACTGACCCTGCCTATGTTTGGGCAGTCTCCCCTCCATCAGGTTCCCGGGGCGTGCGGCCAGGTTCGGGGAGGGGTGCCCGCTGTGCCTGTCACCCGGCTGCACAGACGGACGGTTAGGGCGTGAGTTGCAGTTTGAGCCGGCCGGCCGGTCCCTGCCGCCGCCCGCCGATCGGGGTCACGTCTGGCCCGTCTGCGAACACACCGTTCATCATGGCAGCACCGCAGATTAACTGACATGCTGACACTTAGAAAGTATCGTTAGCATTAATTAGGACCGTAACTTTGGCGGCGGCTGTTAGTATTCAGTGCTGGAAGGTATTATATTTGCAGGTTGCCGTTTATCTGATTATGTCATGGCTTCACTGCGCTCCGTGCAAGCTACCTGTCAATATAGTTCAGTGTTCATCTAATCAATATGCCAAATATAGCCGGCATTTGGCTGTGAATGAAGGTTCAACGGCATGCAATTTAATCGTAACGTGCCTTACATAGATGATCGCTTTCTCATTATAAAGTATATTTGTTTACCAAATTGCGCATATTTCATTGCGTGCAAAAAAAATCGTTATTTAAATTTGTTACGATTTCAACAGCTTGAGAGCAAGTGAATCCCAGGTCATCAATTCATACTGATGTGAAATATAATTGCACGAAAGAGCAGGCTGTTAGGATCATACATGCCTTTCACATCTGTCGAAAGTATCATCTGAGAAAGCCAACGGGCCTGAATTATTTATTGCCACTCATTCCGTGTGTCCTAGCTGATTATTTACTGAGCAGACGGGGGCGGACGAGTGTTCAGCCCCGGCTCTAGTTACAGGTAGCATAACATCTATCCGGTCGACCCCAGGGTGTGGGAGCCAACCGTCACGCCTAGGTCACGGTCTGGTCGGTAGGAACTGTACAAAGGGCAGGTCGAGCCACTGCCGGATTTCCGGCAAAAACATTATCTTATTACACTATCTGATTATTTGTCTGTCAGCCTGGATTTGTTCCGGATGCTGCACTGGGGGCATACTCGTATGTGAATGTGATTGTCCACGTAGATATCTGTGTTAGCGGATATCATGACACGACAAGGACGCTATAAATGTTACGCCCTTCTATGTAAACGGCTCAGTGGAGGAATCCATTGAGTTATATTGGTCCCGGCGCCAGCCGACGTCTGGCTATGTTGTATGTTTATAGTGTGTACGCTAATGCCTCATGCCTCAACCACCGACTATCGGTTAAACTTTGTTCCCGGCTGACCGGTGGGTTTGTCGGGTGCGGTCTGCTGACCAATGTGTTTTTATGTTTGTCATGATTTGTCTGATCTGAGCGCTGGCCGACCGATATATCTTGTCTGTCGGTCGATCTGTGCTTGCCTACTGTGTGTTCCACCGACCGACGTGTTTGTCTGTTGTCCGTGCGTTTTGCTGACCGTTGGTCCGTGCTCCCACTGACTATGTTTGTCTGTGTTCCCCACTGACAGCAGTGTATGTATGTGTTCCCCACTGACCGTTGTGTCTGTATGTGTTCCCCACTGACCGCTGTGTCTGTCTGTGTTCCCCACTGACCGCTGTGTCTGTCTGTGTTCCCCACTGACCACTGTGTATATCTGTGTTCCCCGCTGACAGCAGTGTCTGTCTATCCGGCAGCGTTCATCATCGGGATGCGGATCTTCGGGCCGGTGTTCGGGTTCGTGCTCGGCTCCCTGTGCACGTCCATCTACGTGTACCCGCTGGAGAGCCCCAACATCACCACCCGGGACCCGCGCTGGATCGGCGCCTGGTGGCTCGGTGAGGAGTGACATCCCGCTGGAAATTTGGAAAACTCATGTTTGCTAATGTAGTGATGCGAGTGATGTTTGGATCCCCTGGCTCACGCCTTTCTAGTTATATTCACTACTTTCCACAAGTCTTCTCTTCCATGACCTCAATGTCCAAGTAGGATTCCACAGACCCTAACATACCCAATGTCTGCGACTCCAAACACCCGAGCACACCCAATGTGTAAACCGCCCAACGTTGCATTCCCCAACAACCAACTGCTATTCATAGTTGGCACGTCTATGTGAGGTCACGTGATACACAACACCCACGTCTATGCGAAGTCACGTGACATACTGCGCTCAATCTCGGAACGCTCAGTGTGCACAGCAAACGTCACGTTCCGTAGACACGTGACTTTGGCGTTTATCTCCAGTCCGGAGGCCGTCGAATCCGATCAGCGTCTGCCCGTCCTCAGAGAATGCCGACTCGGCACCCCTGATGGGGACAGAGCGGGGTCCTCTTGTGCCCCAGTGCTGAAGCTGCTCGTGGGAGGGTTCGGTTCCCATCAGCTAGACAAGCCGTCGGGTTAGAGCCAGAGGCACAACTGGGTGGCTGCTCTGACCTCTGAGAGGTCGCGAGGCGTAGAAAAGAATACATAGGACGCGATGAAAAGCGAGACTGGGCGAGAAACGTGAAGTGACACAGTGCGGTACGACGGTCGGATTGATAGACGGGACAACATATATAAAGACAGTGTTGAAGGACAGACAGACGCACGAACGGACAGACAGACTGATGAGCTGACGGACAGATGAAAACGGACCGAGCAGGTGGACCTTCCCTGTTTCTTCGGTTCCACCTGTCGTCCCGCGTGGCTGATTTCGGGACGCGCTTCGCTCCAACGGTCGGTACCTACTGTGATGTTGCGTCAGCGTCAGTGATGTTGGTGTGGATAAGAAAACAGACGACCGAATCCTTCGGATCCGGTCGACCCAGCGCCCACGAGCTGGAGATACAAACATGTGGAACGTATCAGATGAACCACCAACGAACTTGGTTTATCGGGAACTGGACACTGATGCATTGGTTGAGGCTGTGTTGCCTATGGAGCGGTCCCCGGTGGCTTCGCCTTCCCATCTCACCTTGGGGAAAGCAGCACTCGGGCTTATCATGATTATTTGCAGCGTAAGCAATGCTGCACACTCGTGACGCTTCGAAATGCTTACAAACATGATATTTTTCTGAAGATGCGATTGCTCCCTGTTAGGACGTCGCTTACAATGATTGAAGCATCAGGTTTGTTGTCGGTATACATTCGTAACAGAGTTTATCTGGCCTCTCGCTACGGCTGTGCAGGGTAAGGCCGTACTCCATGTACAAGACACGAAATGCACACTTTTTGAGTTCCATGTATTTCGTCGTACTTATTGATTTTCTCCGGCCTGCTGAAGGCGAGTGAAAATTGGCAACCGTACGTCTTCAATAAATTACTTTACCTATACGTTTCTTCATATAACGCGATAATCTTCAATGAGTCAAACGAGTCTTGATACGCTCACCTGCGTTACCTACCGTTTCGCTGCAGACTTGTTCGCCCTCTGACCCGGGCGAGCTGTTCATCTTCTGACCTCCCGTTCTGCTGCAGGCATGTTCATCATCTCCGGGATGCTGGCGCTGAACGCGGTCATCATGTTCGGGTTTCCGAGGCGGCTGCCACATCCGAAGCTACCGCCGGCTCATGCGAATAGCCCAAACCACCAGCAACAGGTCCACCACCACGTGCCGCCGAGTCAGCCAAATAACGGCGGTCCGCCCGCCAAGAATCCTAGTCTCCGAGGTGAGCTGACCGCGCCTGTCGGTGTGGGCGGTGTAATGTAGCGGCGTTAATGGGACAGGCCACTGGGAAATCAGGCGATTGTGCACAGCTCTTACCCAGGATCAATGCGAACTGTTGCGGTAGGTATGCATATTAAACACTGATGACGTCATCTCCTCGAACACTATTTTGGCTTGATTTCCATAATGTCCCGGACCATCTCTTCGTCATTTTCTTTCTCTGCTAATACCCAGTATGCTTTCCTGATGATAATTCACTCCTTCAAATTTAACTGTGTATCTTGTAGTTCGTGCTTTCGCCTCTTCGAGTTTCGACACGTATCAGACAGAATGCCCCTCAGCTCCACCCGTGTCCCCCTGACCCTCTGTCTCCGTCGCTCCGCCGCAGAGTTTCCGCGGGCGGTGAAGCACCTGTTGCAGAACGACGTACTGATGTGCCGGACGGCCTCCAATGTGCTGCACGTGCTGCCCATCGCCGGCCTCTACACCTTTCTGCCCAAGTACCTCGAGTCGCAGTTCAGGCTGACCGCCTACGCGGCTAATATGGTGGCAGGTCAGACACGGGAGGGGACGTGGGCGAGAGGGCGGATCGGGAGCTGGGGTACCTTTACGAGAGTGAAGGAAAGGTGAAAGGCGGGGAGGGAGTGGGACGATAGACAGTAAGGCAAGGCAGTGAAGTGGATGACAGACAGTGGGAAGGCGGGAACAAGGAGGAAACCGGGAGCGGCAATGCGACTGATTGACGCTGACCAAGCTGTTGGCAGCAGCTCAGGAGTTTGAGTCGCATCTGTCTTTGACGCTCTCAATAAGCTAGCAGCTAAGCGTCGTCACTTCTGCTTCACCCTGCCACGCCTGCAGTCTTCAGCGCTGACACTGTCTCCCTGTCATCTCGGCAGGTCTGGGCGGGATTCTGGTGATGTTCCTCGGCATCCTGGGCAGCGGGATCTACATCAGGAAGTTCCAGCCGTCGGCGCGCTTCATCACCGGCTGGATAGCCATCTCGGCGCTGCTTTACTCGGCCGGTGAGTGACGCGCAGCCCGACATCCTGAGCAAACGGTCCACCGGCTCAAGGTAGCCACGGCCCGAGATCATGAGTTAGCCGTCCACCAGTTCATGACAGCCAGTGGCATCTTACTGACTGACACTAGATGGCGAATGTGTAGTGTGTGTGTGTGTGTTTGTGACGGGAGCTGGGGATCGAAAACAATCATGTCATATGAAGCCAATGTTTGGCTTCAGTACACAGGATCACCAACGTCATTCGAACACGTTATTGCGTGTCACCTACACCTCGAAGCCCAATGTCGAAATGTGAATAAGGCAATGCGAATTGTGAAAGAATGACATGTATGCATGCCATATTACATAACGTTCCATTTCCTATCTTTCAGGGATGGCAATACTCATGTTCGTGGGTTGCAGTCAGAATGATATTGTCGGCCTGCAGCCAGGGTAAGTGCCCTAACTGAGCCCACAACTGTGCCGCCCCTCCATAAACTAAGTGCCTTTGATTCATGCCGTCCGTGCATCTGTGAGACAGATGGCTGACATTTTACGGCGTCACAAGACAGAAGTCATGTTTGGCGTTCAGCTATGTCGGCACGTGCCGCGATCCAGAGGCGTGACGTCGTGCGAAACACCCGTACGTTTACTAAACGCCCTCCCTCCATCACATTAATGAAATTGATTACTCATTGCATTCCGGCTGTCCACATCGATCACCCACAGTGGCATAAACCGTTCCGTTTCCCAAATCAACACTGCACCCCCGTCTGTGGCGGCGGGCCGTTCAGAAAGATCCCGTGTTACGCCGGTCGTGAGCCTCTGTCGGGCTTCTGGGAATCGGTCCGACCAACAGGCGCCGACGGTCGCGTAAAAACGCTGGCACAGACCGAGTCTGCGTGGGTGGGGTCACCTCTGCACGGCTAATTGAGGGAGCAGAGCGGCACGGCAAACAGCTGCGGACCTCGAATACGGAGCGAGGGGGGAATGGATGGGGAGGGGAGGAGGGAAGAGCGAGCGTGGAAGATGCAGGAAAGGAGATCAACGAGCTCATAATCTAAGCGTAAATATAAACGTAAATCAACGTAGCGAGTAACGTAGGAGAGCCAAAATAGGTACGCTCTCCCTGCTTAAGTACCTGAATCTGGCCACATATCATCAATATCATATCACAATACCCGACATCCAGAGATAAACGGTTACTCTCACGATAAACTCAACTATTGACTAATAGTTACCAAAACAAACTAAATTTGCTTCACCAATTTCGACACCGATTTTACCAGGTATTCATCGAGGATCACTAGCATAAATACGCATAGTAAAACTGTGTAGGATATCAGTTTATTACTGCAGAGGCGCCCTCTCGTTCCACCGCCGCGGCTCTCACCGCAGCGCAGCGCCCCCTGGTCCCACGGTTCCACCGCGCCGCGGCGCTCACGGCAGCGCCCTCTGTCCCCAGGAACGTCTCGGGTCTGTGGAACGGCACCATCTCGTGCCGGGCGCACTGCACCTGCCCCACGGAGGAGTTCTCGCCCGTGTGCGGCTCCGACGGGATGACCTACCTGTCGCCGTGTCAGGCCGGCTGCAGCAGCACCGCGTCCGGGGACAACGCCACCGCGCTGGTGAGACAACGACAGAGAAACTCGCGCTAGAGCTGAGTGGCTTGCTAGGCAATAGGCATTTGTCCACCGCCGAAGGGACTTTGGGTATGAAAATAGTTCAGCTTTATTGTGACTAATGCTGTGTCTCTGCCTGTTGCAGTATGAGGGGTGCAGCTGTGTCGAAGGCAAGGGAACGGCCGAACTCGGGTACTGCTCGCTCGACTGTGATAACTTCTACTGGTGAGTATAGTGTAACTTTTCATGAGTTTCTGCATTACGACATCCCGTGCCGTAACTACAACGTTGTTTTGAGGCGCCTCACCCCTGTAGGTACAAGGATTGACGAAGAAGTTATCACTTTCCCCAAAATGGGGCACATTTTTGTCCTGAATCGCACTATCTCATTCGTGTGACCCTGTTGGTGTGTGTTTCAGGTTTATTCCGATATTTTGTGTGTTTGTGCTGATCCACTCGACCTCGGAGGTGGGCGGCATCCTCATCACCCTGCGCTGTGTCGACCCACACGAGAAGGCGCTCGCCCTCGGCTTCATCGCCGTCGCCATCGGGCTGTTCGGTGAGTGGAGAATAGAGAGTGGGCAGTGGTTAGAGATAGTGCTAGGTCAATGGTCACAGCGGTCAGTGAGCTTTGGGTCAGCAGTCAGAAGGAATTGGTCAATGGTGTCAGTGACCAATGGACAGTGAGCAGTGCTCAGCAGTCACTGGTCAGTGGTCATTGGTCAGTTGTCAGTGGTCACTGTCAGTGATCAGTGGTCATTGGTCAAATCTGGCCAGTTGTCAGTGGGCAGTGGGCAGTGGGCAGTAGGCAGTGTTCAGTGGCCAGTGTTCAGTGGTCAATGTTCAGTGGTCAGCGGTCAGTGGTCAGTTGTCAGTGGTCAGTGGGTAGTGGTCAGAAAGCAGCGGCCAGTGGTTGATGTCCAATGGTCGATAAACCGAGATAAAATATTACGATCGGCGATCAGTGGCCAAAAGTTCAATGGTCGGTAGACAAAAGACTGAGGGTTACTGCAGGAACAACAGCAGCACATTCAATACAGCATGTTTCGCCCGCTCAACCCACCTCCGGATTTCTACTGTCCGGGCCAATAACCTGGCCGGCCGAACCGGCTCTGAAAGGGCCCGCGGCGTCACGAACGCGCGTCACGACCCGAGTACTCGTGACATGACGGGACTGAACTGTGCGTGAGGAGAGTTCGGGAGCGGGTTGGCCCAGTCAGCGGCGGCTCAACGCCGTGAGAGTCGCAGGCTAGCTGCCGCCGGATAGTTTCGGTTATAGGTACCCAGTTTTATAGGTCGCATATATCGTATGTAATATATGTTCTACATAAACATTATAGCGAATATGCCGTCTTTCATCTCAACTCCACTCCGAGGTCAAATGTGTGGCACTGAACAGATGGGTAGGTGCCATATGTCTACTCGTTACGATACTCGTTACTCGATTCGATACGTGCTAGCTTAGTACAGTTTAACAGTTAACACTGACGAACACTGACTAAGACTTTGTCTGTGTTACTATTTTCAGGTAACGTACCATGTCCGATAATTTATGGCGCGGTGGTGGACTCGGCCTGCCTGCTGTGGAAGCAAAACTGCGGCCAGGACGGCGCCTGCTGGCTGTACGACACCACCAGCTTCAGGCACCTCTTCTTCGGTGAGCGTCCTCTCTCCCGCTGCTCAAAACGCCGCACGTCATTAAGGCTGGAGACTTCCAGTTTGCGGTTAACTCGCGTTTATTTTGGTGGCTAACTTCCTTACACGCGTGTAGCTGCCCACCAACTTTTACCCGGGGACTTCCATCCGCGGTTAACTGGTGGGTAGCTACACGCGTGTAAATATTTAAATGCCGACTTACACGCCAGTTTAAAGGGCTTCCCGATCAGCTGATCGGGATGCGGCGATCAGCTGGTCCAATGAACAAGTGCGGAATTCCGTTATTTATGGGACCGGTGGCCCCCAATCAGCGTTTTTACACATGCAATGAGTACAGCCGTAACAATGGGATGTGGTGATGCATTAACCTAACCAGAACAGCGTTTGAAGCCGTGCCAATCAGCATCAATAATGCTAATCGCCTTGTGTTATTTCACTCTGTATGGCCGACCGCCAGTCTACTGCATGATCTTGCAACAGCCGTATCTCAGATTACTCGTCTGCCCTCGTCGGTTCGTCTCCGTCACCCCCGTCCTCACCCCCGCCCCGTCACTTCACCGGTGAGGCGTCGTCGGTGTCCAATTCAATGCCACACAAAGGACGATTATCACCGAGTGATCAGTTTAATATGTGCGTGTCGCGGGGGTGGCTGACGTTCCAACGGCGCAGGATCCGGTCCAACACCAGTGCCCATTTGCTGCCGTTTAAACCGCTAATGGTTCTTTTTGGCCGTCCTTTTCATATCTCTCCAGAGCTGTGTCAGCTGTTTCTAGTCCCATTTTTCTTCTGACCTTGCATTACAGGCTGTAACAATGTTCTTCCAAGACCGTTTTCGTTCTTCATTACTCATTCCATCGTGTCGCTTATTTTCGATGACTTTTACTTCAGTCTTCATGACATCGGCTAACATGTCTCTACTACTGAAATTTCTGCTCCTCTTTTTCCTGTCCATGGTTGTTGACCGGACACTCGTATTGCTTCCATTGAGCTGGTCCTCGCCCCACTGACACGTAACGCGAAGTGCGACGACAGGGGCCCGACACTAGCCGGCTGGCTCGACGATCACATTATTTCGGATGCGATACGAATCCCATCTCACTATCCCGAAGATTACGAAATAGCAGCTGGTGGCAAGGAGATAGGTGCGATGGAAATAGACTAATACCTCCGTATTTGAAAATTTGAGTCCTACATCCTCAATTCTGTCAACTCAAATATTGCTCTGATTACTCATGTATGACTTGTTGAAAACATCTGGATGCTTGCAGTGATGAAATACGTAATTTGTAACCCCTCAACAAGCACAGAGGCCAGTTTAACCAACAGAAAAATAGCCGCCTGGCGGAATTTTTTGCCTAAAGACCGTTTCACATACGGAGTGCAAACGCGATAAGCACGTAAGCGGATAGAGCTTTACCGCTCTCGATCCGTATGTGAATCGGCCTTTAGGCGAAAAATTCCGCCAGGCGGCTATTTTTCTGTTGGTAAAACTGGCCTCAGTACTATGAAAAGGTGACCTTAAATTCGTCTAATCTTAGCAGCCGAACGGCTAGGCCGAACTGGCTGAAAAAGCCAGAACTAGATGATTGCACTATTGTCTATCACTTGCACATACAATTTGCACAGGAATAAACTTTTAAAACCCCCTAAGGACCAAAAAAAGCACCACCGAAAAGATACCCGCGAACTTAATACATGGGGTGGCTCGCGTGTAAGTTCGTTCGCTAACTTAGCGAACAAACTATTTACCCGCAGATGGAAGTCTCCGGGCAAAGTTACCCGCCGACTTAAACGCGAGATAAACGCCAACTTACCCGCAAACCACTTACACGCGACTTACCCGCGTGTGGAAGTCTCCAGCCTAAACGTTGTGTTAACTTTGCAGTTCGAGTCACTTCAGAAGCGATAATTCCGTATAGGTATAAGAATAAATAAATTCTAACTGTGCCGTTGTTTGCCACGTTCGTGAACTGTTATTTTACCCGGTGAACTATATGTGTAAGTACCTATACAAATGCGGCGGGTTATATAACTCGTTACCTACTTCTCGCTTTTGAGATTTTACAGCTGCTCATGCAAACCAAGGATTCGCTACTGATACAAATCATGGAATTCGTACTCTTCTCTGATGAATTAAAAACACCTGTAGTGCATCATAGGGTTTACCTGCTAGCATGGCCTGCTGTTCCAAAGCTGACTGTTCCTTCGACACTATAAATGGGGGCACTTCATTGTTTCAAACGCCCCCGGACCGCGCGCACTTGTGCAGCCCGGGTCCAGTTTTTACGCGTGTTCTTTACTGAGCTTGTTTCATGTGTTTGCTCATAACCAGTTATCTGATCAGGTCCGGGAGAATGGCGTTATGCTGCATTGTGAGCCGACTACAGCCCATGCCCTTCCGTCAGCCCATTTGAGCCTCCCCACACACGCACGCTACAACGCGACCAAGCGTTTCTCAATCGCCTTCGGTTGCACTCGGTGTTCCAGCTGGCCATTATTCGTTGACCTTAGCCAGCTCTAGGGGACTGGGTCAAAAAAGAAATCGATACCTATTGGAGGTGAAAGGCTCACGATCAACAATTATCGTTTCAGCCGACAAAAGAGAGATTTATTCTCACCACTCACCAAAGTAATCAAATGCACCGTATCAAACTTAATTTTATCACACATTGCTTTCCTGTCCACCCAAATATAATACTTCATTAGGCATAGATGAAGAACTCGTAAAATATCTAACTGAACACCACACAGCTCATGATTATGTCCATCTCATGCTGGTATGGCACGGGCAAGCAAAGCCATAGACCATTGTGCAATACGTGGCCAGGGCCCCTCATAAAGCAAACACTTCGACACTTTTACTTCTGAACCGGTCGTGACGCAATCGAAGCCCGATTATATCCGCATGGTAAAAGTGTTTGTGTGGCAGATAGGTGCGTTAATTCGCTCATCGTTCCCACTTCTATACTCGAGTACCTACATGTGACACTGTTGGTCAGGAAGACTATAACATCGGTCTCAAGAATCATACTGCGTACTGGGGACTGGATAATCAAATGAGAACGATTAATCTGACCGCAATACCTGAGCAAAACAATTGACCAAGGCTAAGGTCACATCTGCAAGTTGTTCGCGGAAATTACTGATCAAATGTACCCAATTCCCCTAACCCAGAACACAACTTGGCACCCAAATGTCATCATGACACCGGAGAAAAGCGCAGCTTTGACAGACCCTACCCAGTCGACCTTATCATTGTTTTGCGTCCAAGGACAACTTATCACAGGTAGAGCCAGAGCTGAGACAAAAGCCCTATCCTTGAACGTACAGGTCTCGCGGGTTTTAACGGTAGGTTTTGCACCTAGAAAATTTAGTGTACTTCATGCTATATCTTCGTCGTCTTAAGCTTTTAAGTGTTGAAGATGCGATCGACTTGTTGGGTAACAAGCCGGCCATGATCGTGTAAAATGGCTTCATCGTAGATCGATTAGTTTCTGAGATATAACCGGAAATGTAAAAGTGCAAAACCTACCGCTTAATCTCGCGAGACCTGTATATACATGACAATCTAAACCAATGTGGAAATATCAAGCTGAAAGTAACAATTTCAGTCAACATTTCTTTGCCATTACCATCTGTATAAAAAAGCGGTATCTAACTGAGGTAAAAAGGTCTCAGTGCCCCTTTCAGCGACCCGCTCGCCCCGTGTTGGCAGGCATCACGTCCGCAGTCATGTTCGCCGCGTTCCTGGTGGACTGCGTCGTCTGGTACAAGGCCGGGAAGATAAACGCCGCCACGGCCGGCCACCCTGCCGAGCTCGGTCCGCACGCGGTGGCCAGCAGCCGCACCCCCGAGCACGCCGGACAGCACCCGGAGGCCGAGCCGCTCAAACAGGCACCATGACGACGCACAAGGTACGTGTTGATATGGAGGGTAAGCAAGGTGCACACTGCGGCGGTCAGTCGAACTAGATGGTAGTAGAGCCACTCAAGCAGTTTAGAAGGCTCCTTAAAATCATGTCATGTTTAATATGACCATCCGGCGTTCATGATGCAGTACCGGAGCATGCTAGTAATATCCGTGTGCTCTTTTCAGGGACTGAATCACCACCAACACGAACGGATGAGCCAATAGGGCTCTTCTGTAACAGGTATTATGCGAGCTGAGCTACCGGCACCGAACCACGGCGGTTAGAGGACTAGCCAGCCGTACCGTGGGGGCCATGACACGCGCATCCGAGTCCACGCGGCTGTCTGCCCGGCGACGCACACCCGAAAGGCTGTGTTTCCACTGTGTCGGTGCCGGTGGGACCACGCTAAGCAGCAGTCTGTGGCAGCGGCAAAAGTCTGCAGACTGAGACAGCGGCGGGAAGCGGTGTGTGGCAACAGTCTGTGGCAGCAGTAACCAGCAGTCTGCGGCAGTGGTAAACAGTCTGCAGACTGCGGCAGCGGCGGGGAGCGGTATGCACCATCGGCGGTTCCCGTGAGTCTGACCGGCTGTGGCCCGTCCTCGGCAGCTGCCGGATTGATCCGAGCCTAGTAGAGACTGCAGTGAACACGTCCCGGCGTGTGCCGTAGCCGCGCCCGTGCGCCAGTGCCCTGATCAGGCTGTGACTCAAACAGCGCCGGCCCTCGGGAGGAGCCCTGTGCGCCACTCCCTCAGCCGGGCGCGTGCTCTACTAGGGAGAGGGTTAGAGGTACAGCAGCGCGCTCACACGTGAGATGTCGAGAGAACGGTGGACGCTGCAGCTAAAAACGTGACCTATTCCGAGCTGGCGGCACTGATGTCCTATAAAGAGAAGAGTGGCGCGAATGGCTAGATTGAAGGAATTTCGAGCTGATAAAGGGCACATAGTTATTTGAAGGGAGTGCCTGTGACTGGACTTTTGAGTGAGCCGTGTGGCTGCCAGTATTGTGTGCAGTGAAACACTTATATTTGTGGAGATGTTTGAAAATGTAATGTTTGTATACTAAACCGAATCGTATGTCCTATATTTCTGAATGCGGCCTTTAGCTGATGCTCAGAACTTTCCCACCCAAAAAGACACCCGCTGATGAAGGAAGTGAACTAAGAGTTCGTCTTTGCATTTATCGCCACTATACTTTTGTTCTACCATGAATAACAGGGCGGATGATAAAAAAACTGGCGTTGGTCGGATTTAACCTGCATTTAAGTCAAGGAAAATATTTAACATGACAATCGTAGGTATGCTGCCCGGGGAAATTCTGTAAATCATATTAATTCTATGCCAAAACTGATTGATAAAACGGCAACGGAATTTAGTTTAGGCGTGCATTTGAACACACAAGCCAACATCAATGACAGTCATTATTATGTCCGTATCCACTTCATGAACCGTATGTGTTGATACTTCAGACAAAAGTTACTATGATGTAACCCCACCACCATCAGAAACTCCACGCTCTACGGGCAGTAGATGCGACTCGATCCGGCAGCTCTATAGTCGTCGTGACCGGCGGGTCACTGTCGGAGCAGCACGCGGTGGACAGAAGTGTCCCGCGTCCACCCCTGCGACCGCCATCTGGCCAGGAATGTGCGCGTCACCTCGAGCATGGCTCTCTGGACACCTTCCGCGTTGGTGCGAGGACGTGGTTCCCACACTCCCGTCACGTGGCGTTGATTGAACCATTGACCTCGCATAGGTCAGTCGCCGGTGAGGCTAGAAAACCGTCCAGCAGTATAAATGTGCTCACCTGAGCCGGCACACTCTGTGTTTGGAATTGAAGTTACACCTTATATGACAATGCTATAAGGCGAAAAACTGGATGAGTGACCTTTGACCAAGACATAAGTACCTACTTCAATAGCACAGCATGACATTTGTTCCAGATACCTTGATACAAAATATAGGCAAATGGGACCCCATTTGACGAATGAGGTGAAGCAAGGTGTGAATCGAAGCAATGATAATGTGTGGCAAAACACCGAAATATAAATGTGACTCTTGCACGGAGCGCGTCTTATCTACGTTCTAATTTGGCTCCGATTCCAATGACAATTCCGCCAAAACAATCCTCTTTGATCGCCTGTGATGGCAACAATATTAAAACTTATCTTCAGAATTTGTAAAGTCATTGTCGTTACTTACATCATACGGAGTGTGGTATGCGTTTCACTGAGTACTGATGAAGGTAGATCGCCTCTCGCAGTCAACTGAACCACTCATTTTTAAGTGAAGCTTCATTATGCTATGCCCATAATGCATTACCAACATTACAAGCTTCTATCAGTTTCTAAAAAAAAATATCAATTGTGCAAATAATTTATTTCATTCACCGAAAGGATTTTCCTTTCATGTTTTGCTTTGTCATATGCAAAGCAATGCGGTAATAGTATATGTCATTTGTTTAGTTGAATGCAGTCGTGTATATCAGAACTGTTGTGTCGTCAAAAACACATACCTATGTCATATTCATGTCCGCATTTGACCGAGGGTTACATGTGTTATTATGCTGATACGTTCTTATGTTGAGAATATCAGCAAGTCTAATGTCCCACTACTGTATAGGGGAAGGGTAAAAACATGGGTCTGGAGGGAAATGTCAGAAGCTAACATGACGTTTGTTTCGTTATTAGCCATCCGTGTATCTATCATCGTACCTAATGTCTCACATCCGTGCGCTGGCCAGTGCTTAGTGGATAACCCCGGTTAACATGATTTTGTGTGATCGCTTTGCTCTGAAAAAAACTGTACCTTCTGTACTGATCTGGGAACTGTAAGGTCATCCTGTCAATGTCAAGCATCACAGAAAGGTGCTTTAGTTGATCGGGATGCCTTCTGCCTTTTGTTTCCACAAATCGCTATCAGCTGCGCGAGTTGAGGCTTAGTCTACAGTGCGGAGCTCTTCCGAGCGAAACGGAAACGTCCAACTAAACTAACATTTGTAAAAAAATATATATTTTTTCGATGCAGATAAATATTAGTGACATTTGTACATGAAATGGTGCCGTTTAAAAATAAATGTTCATAAAGTGTGTACGATGATGTACCTATGTGTTGTATGTAATAAAAAAATAATATGAAGCGTCCATATCACTGCAGAGCACTTTGTGACTAAAGAAGGAAGTTTCTTTTTTACACAAACACGAAAACTGAGCCAAGGGTCACTTTTCTTTTTCTATAAGATACCCAGTTCAACATTTATTGGTCTCTCTAAGGAATGTTTGCAGTAGCTAGGAAGGAAATTAATAGAGAATAGGAGACACGCCGTTATACAAAGGCGGGAGTACCAACCATCACAAAGAGAGCTGGACCGAACCATGACGTATGCACCATGCACTAAGACAATGACATCACAATCTCCGGAACAATGATAATACCCAGCCTATGATTCAGCCTAAGCCAGGACAAGATTGCCTAAAAACTCTCCCTATCACACAGATGCAAAGTTAACATTATACATAGTTGTACGCAAAGATACCTAAAGGATCAAATGCAAGATATAAAGTAACCCAGCCTGTCATCAATAACTTTGCACTGTCACGCATGATGTTTAAGGGGATAGCATGCGTTGCCAAATTACCCAGTCTACCTACACTACTACACGCAACCTACCTGTGATTAGAGAAGAGACCTCAGCCGTTTAGCGACGACCTGAGCTCCTTATCCCAATATACCGCCCGGTCCACCATCCTGCGCCAACATCCCCTCCCGCGGCATCGGCGGCCGTTTTCGCGAGACACGCGTCTCGTGACGGTCGCCGTGACGCCGCCGCCGGGCCGTCACGGCCGTCACGGCGCCGGCCCGGGTGCCGTGGCGACTGGTGGCCGGCCGGCGGTCAGTGGTTTCCTGGACAGCGGCGAGGATGGAGCGTCACACCCGGCACCGGCCGACGCCCGACGGCACAAGGTGGGTCTGGCAGCGGGCGCAGCGGGACCGTGGGGTGCAAGGCTTTGCCATCAATATCGAACCTACTCGGCTGGTGTTAAGTGGATTGGCGTGTGTTTGTGTTTGCGCGTATTCATGTTTGCTGAAAATTTCGGCGGGCAGTTTAGGAAGATGGCACGCAAAAGGTTTAAATCACATCTCAAGAACCAATGATTAATGCTGGAAGGCTGAGGTTGACGATCGTCTGATCGCATGGCATTTTGTTTTCTTCAAAAGAAATTCTGCTAGGTCCTAAAGTGTCGCACCTCCGCAACACCCTCAGAGCCAGATGTGTTTGAATGGAGAGACAAGTGACAGGAGTCAGGACCTAGTTATGCTTCAGAGGTCTCACAACTTGCATATCTAGGATTTTCCTAAAGGTGACTAATATCAGGTCGACCACGTGACCGCACCATTACAACCCAAGGCAATAGGGAAGATGAGGAAACTGTTATTTTTGCACCGAAAATTATCTCAATATACTTCAAGCACATGGAATCGGAATCACATGGAATTTATGATTTAACTAAGTTAAAAATATTTTCGTCAAAAACTCCCGATCAGTATGAGTTAGTGAGTCGGGAAAGCCACCAATGGACTCGGGAGGACCTGCCGAATCGAATAAATTGCGATAGGTATGACCTCCTTCGACTACCTCTGTGACCTGAGTGGCTCTGACCTGACCTTAACCCGTTTTGGCGAAGTTATTTACTGAAAACCTAATCCATCCCTTCGGCACTTGGGCTGGCCTCAGAGGTCATAGCTTAAGCTGAAACCTTAAAAATTGGGTTTTAGTGGCTGCGTCTCGCAACAACACACAACTCATTTTTGTGCAGGGCACTAGCTCAATTAGGGGCGAAACGACAGGGGCCGGGGGGGGGGTGTTATCCGCCCAATGGCCTCGACCCCCCAGGCGCATGTAAAAAAAAAAAACAATATAGGTCCGGCGAGTGTTGACCCACGCATGACTGGAAACATTCCACAACGAAAGTGACTAGCGGGGCTCGATATCTATCGTGCAACATGAATCGATATCGATAATGTCAATATAACGTACTTTACTTGCATATAACGTAATCGTATTTGAATTATCTATTTAATTGTAAAAACGGGGGGCTTGGCCATTTCTTAAGACATCGGGCTAAAATTTTGTAAGGGTAGGTTATCACTATGTGTTCTATCACATAAGATGTTCTCATCTTCATGCAAATTTAAAAACTTACATCAAAAATTGAGAAAAATATAGGCAACTAAAACTTCAAATTTCCAAAATTTGGCAAATCCGATATATACGCTTTACAGCCTGTGTAGGTACTAGTTTCGTGTCGATACATTCAGCGGTTGTGAGGATGTTGCAAAAAGCGGGAGGGACTATGAAGAGCCCTCCTCAGTCATGCGCGGGTTTAAGTGAGGGGTTCAAGAGGAACTGGTAGGTGGCAAAATTGCCAGATGTAATGACCCCCCGGCTCCAGACTGGCTTTAGGCTGGCGGAGCAAAAACAAAAAAAGCGGTTTGAATATTCTTTGTCGCATACCTTCATGATGTAGTGACATTTAACCCTATTCCTGGCGGGCTCCGCCGGGACAAGAAACTGGCGGGGGGGGGGGCCGATTCGGCCCCCCCCCCTGAGATCTCGAGAACGAAGCAAGATAGCGACAAGCGGTAAACGGCATCGGATACGCACGGCCAAGATCTACAATTTTTACTAAGGTCATTTTCAGGTCAGGTCAAAGATGACGTCACAGGGGTCGAAAAAGTCAAAATGGCGGCACTAGATATGGAGAGTTTTTCTCGAATAACTTTCGAATTAGTCAAGATAGGAACAAACTAAGGGCATCATCGTGATCCTCTCGTCAATCCGCATCGAATGATATATATGTTGACCTCGAAAGGTCAAGGTCAAAGGTTGACCTCAGGTCACGTGACCTCGAGGTCATCATGTATATCATTCGATGCGTCTTGACGAGCTGAACACAATGAGACCATCCACGCGTCTGTATCTTGTTCCTGTACGGAGTTATTGGCCAAAAACCTTTGGTGACCTTTGATGACGTCACATGACCTCACAGCTGCCCAACAGCAAAACAGACCTCAAGGTAGTGAAGGTTGATCGTATATGAAGTCATGTATGGTATATGGGGCCATTCCGACCCGTTTTAGTGTTAAAAACAGGGAGTTGATTTTTCCCCCATTGACTTATAATGGGGAGGTCGCGAAATTGACCTGACCTTAGGTCACCGATATCAAAATTCCGAGATATACAAATTGCACATACTGGTACCCTAACTAAACCCTGAAGAGAAGAAATTGATCGGTCAAAAACTCTAGCTCTGGCGTGATTGCAAACTTTTCTGAGGTAGCGTCACCAAACCGCCTCTGGTGACCTGACCTGAGGTCAGATCAACTCAAAATTTTCAGACATGTTGCGTAGAAGCCTTTTAGGAAAAGTCAGAAAATTTGAGCTTCCTAGCTCAACGCGTTTGGGAGATATAACCAAAAAACCTCAGGGGGGGCTCCTGAGGCCCCCCCCGCCAGGAATAGGGTTAAAAGTCTTCTTCATCCAGCTTCGCCCCCCCCCCCCCCCCCGGAACCACTATCTGTATTGTAGCATATCTGGCAGTCAGGTATGACGTGTTCTAATCATATCCCTCCTTTTCCTACATATACCAGCGATAACAGGTCCGCCTTCCTCCCGCTGCCAGTTATCTAGCAGACATTGTTGGCCGCAAGCATCTCCTGCTGTCTGCAACACTGTGATAGTTCCGCAGTAAAACCAACAGCTCGGGCTTTCTTTGTCCAGCGAGTGCATGTTTTCCTCATCGACTAAATTGCTGGCTACCTGCATCGCATGACTGAGCGGAGATGGAAAACAGGGCGACCGATCAAAAGCTGCAAATTGCACTGAATGTTAAATCAGGTCATTGTCATCACGTAGACGTTGATTAGAGGCATGAACCAAAGAAAAAAAGCAAACTCCCGCTTCGTTCCTTTTCATATAAAAAAATGTGTTACACTGTAATAAAGCAGCAGGAAGCAACCGCTTACACGAAAATTATTTTTGTCACTCAATGATATTTCAAGATTATGAAGATTTATGAAAAAGCAGGCAGTTAAGAAAAAAGACGCTTGAATCTGTCCGTGAAAGAAAAATTGTATAAGTTAACAGTAAGAATATGGCATAAAATGTGTATTCTCCCAACGCACATCCCAAACGCATTTGGGACAACCGTTGACGCTGACGAAAAAGCAGGCCTGATGCAATGGGCTATAAAACTTGCCCACCTAACGGGCATGCAGGTCAATAACTGCCTGAGGAAACACCAGCCTTATCCTCAACTGGAGATATGAGGAGCTGAGATAATCAACATCAGTTGAATGTTACTTTCCGCATTGCAACGCATTTCTGAAAGATCAAGAGCACTGTGTCTCCAGCCAAAGCTGAACATTCGAATCTTTAGCATATTTTATGGAAGTATTGCGATGTGAATTTTCTAAATAAGCTATTGAGTTCCGTCATGATACCTACGAGTGGACCTGGCTTACTGCTTGGGAAGACTGTAAATGAAGAGAAATTCGCATAGATTGGCCAGTTCGAGATGGATATAAAACAACAGTGATGTAAAGGGACGTCCCCGAATTTATGTCGTCTAAGAGTGTAGGGTAGACCGGGGCAAGTCGCCCCGCCGAGGTAAAACGCCTCACCGATGTTTCTCGGAACTGGCAAGGTTCTGGGGAAACATCGTCTCTTCTATAAAACGTGCACTATACGATCATTATATGAGCGGACTGGAAAGAAATTGTAATGACTCTTTAGGGAGATATAGCCAAAAATGTGTTTTTGGAGTGATTTTTATGTTTTGGTGTCAGATTATGCATCATGGCGTTCTTTTATCGTCCACATCAGGTTAACGACTTTTATGTATTTTGAACTATTGTCTAACGCTTATAATGCCGGGTTGGTTCGTTTTAAATTAGGTCTTCCTGGAGTGCAAGGCGTTGTTCTCTGACCGAACTACGTGATGGGGTAAAACGCCCCAGTAGGTCGCGGGGCAAAAAGCCCCATGGGGCGTTTTACCTCATGTGTTGTTCGGACTACCCATTTCCTAATGTTCGGTAGCTGGCGAACGGTATGTTTATATGCATTTATATGTACTTTTCTCAGCAACTGGATGGCAAAGGAAGTATTTTGTTAACATTTGCATTGCAATAATTTATTATTTGGCCTTATGAGGCAGGTGAAAAACCTGCTCATACAATAGTGTCGTAGCTGAACACCTGATAGGATGGAAGGCGCTAACTTCAGTGCCGTGCCTCCCAAGGTCTAACGGACCTCTCATATAAGATTTAGTCAACTAGCATGTTTAATCTTTAATCTAGAGTATGGGGCTTCTTGCCCCAGGCCATGGGGCGTTTTGCCCTGGGGTTGGGGCAAAACGCCCTATTTGCAGTTGCTTCACAAACCACTTCCTAGCTGGGAGTCCGATCATAAGTGAATGAATTTGAGGGGTGGAATTTAAAGTAAAATGTCCAAAGAACGCATTGAGCACAAATTTGGCCTTCCAGGTGATGTGAGACAAAAGTTATGTAGCAAAATAAATTATCTGGGGCGTCTTGCCCCAGGCTACCCTATTTGGCCAAGGGGAAACCGTAAAAACAGACCTAAAAACAAGTTAACAAAGCCGTCATTGCTTTTTACTTTCCCAGGCTCTTGCTGTCCGCCTGCGCAGCATGCAGTCGGTCGATCGAGCCAGCGTTGGGACGCTGCTGACAGACCATGGCTGACCCGTACAGGCAGGGCGTGGTCCGATAGAGGCCCAATTGTGTGTCGGTCAGCTATTTTGGCCGGGTCACTCGCCGGGTCAGGCTGGTCAAACTGGTCCCCGGCACCGGCGGGGTAAAACTAGGCCAAATTTAGTCACCCAGGGCGGTAAAAACAACCTAGACTCTATGTCACCCACTCAACGTTGGCCTCGATCAAAGAGCCCCGTTCGCCACTCATGACAAGGGCTAACGGCAAATCACACGCATGCAGCTGACATAGGTATAGGTAACATTACAATCAATAATTAGCAAACAAGCAAAGGCACATCGTCACGCTGTTTGTCATGGGCGATGCAATGCACGCACTGTATAAGGCAATTATCGATTACTTAACCAACACCTGGGAAGGTTGTATCATAACCCCATTTGCTGAGGTCCAGTTTTTGCTTTAGTTTCTAAGAAAACACTGGACCAAGTAAAAACAGTTCCCACTATCACTGGACAATTACCTGAGGTGAAAAAGAGATCACCAATTGCGAAATGAAGCAGTCTCAGATTCGATAATAAGTGAAAAGGTGACTCTAAAGCCTGCCGTTTCACTGAAACTTCCCGATCGAGCAGCAGTAGAGGTCAGGAACTCCGAATCATGCTCTTGTTGCCTTCGCACTGGTTCTAAAGTTGCTGATTCGCCTATAAAATATTTACTAACTCATCTTTTTTCCTAAAACAAAATGTCATTTAAAGGGACCCTCCCACCTTCAAAAAAGTTAATGAATTGGCATGAAAGTGATGTCGCTCGGTTCAGAGAGAGCGAAAACGAATATCTACCAAATTTCATCGAAAAATATTCACCGGTTTTCAAGATATTAGACTTTTACTTTTGTTTACTTTTTGGGATCTCCACTGTTCCTAGCGACTTTATTTGAAAGTGCGGCATTTGTTGCGCGCAAAGCAGCATATACCACCGCGTGCTACCAAACGTTTTAGTAAAAGATTTAAAAATCGTTAGATCTCCGCTGACGTCACAAATTCTAAGGGGGCATACCAATGCATTAGCCCCTTAGAATCCGAAAACTGCATGTTTGAAATTCCATATCTCCGAATTGAAGCATTTTTCGATGTTGTGAGTGCCCAAACCGGTATTTTCAGGCCATGGCCACCAATTTGGCTATCTCAACTCAAAACTAATGTTAAGGTGGGAGGGTCCCTTTAAGATGTTCTCCTTCGCCAAAGAACCATCTGTCTGGAAAGACCGTTGGTGTTATAACCGTCCCCGATCTGACGTCCAGCTGCTCTGCAGGTCCTCTGCGGCGGCGGCGCGGCTGCTGGCGGTGCTGCCGCTGCTTCTGGGCGCCGTCAGCGGTCAGCAGACGGCCCCGTTCACCGTCCGACCTCCCCCCGAACAGTTCTGGAGCTTCGCCGCCGGCGACAACCTCGCCGCCGCCTCGGAGCTCACGCGCGCCTCGCGTGCCGTCCTGCACGCGCAGCGGCTCGCCTTCGACCCCAACCTGCCGGCCGGTCTGAACCTGCCGCCCCGCGAGATCGCCGGCGTCGCCGACGTCCACCCGGGCCTGGGGCATCGCGCGCCCGGCGTCGATGTCGTTGGAGAGATCCAGCGACTGGAGGGGCTTTACGGATCGTCTAAGGCGGCGGCGATAGACCCGACGGCGACCCCGCTGGCACCGCTAAGCCAGCAGCTGAAGCCGGCGTTTGCCGCCCACAAGGGCAGAGCCGCTCTGCGGGAGGCCACCGCGGCCGCCGGAGTTCCCACCAGCTACACGTACCGGCGAGACACGTTCGGCACCACACCCGGTGCGGCCGCGATGGGCCGTGCTCGCCCCATGGGCGCTCCGCAGGGGCGCGGAGCCGACCCGCTGCTCGGCCGTCCTCCGCTGCAGGATGTGCCGGCGCGCGAGCTGCCGCTGGTGGCGCCGCCGCCGCTGGACGAGGTCGACATCGTGATGCCGCTGCCGCCCCAGTACCGGACCGCTTTCCGACCGGGCGCGGGCAACTTCAGCGTCGACCCGCTGGGCGGGGCGCCCCGACAGCCGCGCACCGACTGCGCCCTGGAACTCCCGGAACGGTGAGCAAAGATAGGAACTGCCGCGAGCTTCAGGGCGCTCCGACAGCCGCCGTACCGAGGGCGCCCTGGACACCAGGGGCCGGTGGGTGACGGTGGGAACAGCGAGAACTTGGGAGCGCGCATCACAACACTACATTGGCAGCTTTCAATATGACCTTGCTACCACTTCTTAATGTTCTCTTCATAAGTAGAAATCAGAAGCCCTTTTTCTTCACATTGCTGATCGCTATCATGAAAATGTATGACTAAATCTTGATCTCCCAAAAATTAAAAAAAAATAAAAAATCAAACGATTTTCGATTTTTTTTTTGTTGTGAAATTTTACAGCTTGCAATGAGTAAACTGGATTCATGAAATTAAGCTCAGAGATCTCCGTTTAAGAAGCTGCGTTATATATACGTTATAATCAAGTACTTGGAAGGAATGTTATGCTAAAAGTAAACGAAATAGAAATATGTTGATTCCTGTGTGCCTAACCAGTAACTGTAATGTCGGTATCTACTCAGCAGTTTTCCTTTCATATGTATGTACACTGTACAGCGCAGGATGCATGCTTAATCGTATGAATGGATAGTTGGACAGACAGGTAGTGTTTAACATTGCATCATCTGTAGTTTCAATGTTGAAATAATCGGCGGTTTGCATAATTCACAAATTAGCTGCCACTTGGCGAGCAGAGCGCTGCCCCGTGTTTCTTCTTGTCAGCACCAGACAAACACGTGTGCTCCAAGTTTTCCGCATAGACGATTTCACTGCGAGCGGAGCAGAAACTCGCACACGGAACTGACCGGCAGTCACGCGCCGTCACGCGCTGTCACGTGACGCTCACGGGACAGTCACGGGAAAGGGTCACGTGACCCTCCGTGACGAGGCCAGTCGAGAGCGTGTCCTCCGTGGGCTTTCTCTGACACCACTCCGCTGATGTAGGTAATTGGTGGATGTCCGGCCTGTCGGCTAATGACGCCGGTGAACAAGACGTCCACAAAGTCACTGAATATTGCTGATTTGCTACAAAAAAAAAAACATTTAGGCTTTGCTGGAGAGACATATCTTATAGAAAGCATGTCTTCGCATTCGCAAACGTACTTATACCAGCGCGGCGGTCCGGGCGCCCTTAGATAACTCGCTTTTGACATAGCATTAAGACACAAAAGTGACGATTATCTGCTCTGAAGTGCTTTTTTGACATCAGCTGTGTCATATTTCTATTTCAGGGAATGCATTACGCATGATGCGATTGAAGCTGCTTTCCAGGAGGCACTCCACTATGTCGGTGAGGTGGATGGTAGTTAGTTAGTACCGATACTGACCAGCTTGAACTTCTAATGCACATACATTTTACATAGATACAACATCGAACGTACGATTTTTGTCATAAGTTCGTTTTTCACGGATTAACAGCCAATTGTTACCGACACGTTTGTAAATGTTTCAGACCTCAATCTGCCCGGGAAAGGCGAGGAATGGCTTCCGCCCAATGTGGCGTCCGTTGGACAGGCACTTTTGAAAACGTCAATTATCCTGGCGGACAGGTAAGATATCGCTTTAAAATGTTGCATGACCCTAGGAAGTGAAATTGCATTAAAACATGCGGAAAGTAAAAGAAGAAAAATATTAGGTAAAAAAGCCAATCGATTTAGTGTCAGTTTGCTTTCACCATGTAAACATTTAAAAAAGGCATTGTCCAACTTCCAAGCAATAGTTCAAAGACATCCCCGAGACTTGGGCAACCCATTGCACTACAAATTTCAGACGCACTGTTCCCCCACATCCATCCCTATTTTCTCAGATACAAGCTGTCCCGGTACGAGATTGAACACGTCCTGCCGAAGGCGGACACGCTATACACATCGATCGCTGAGATATGTCCGGACTTCGCCAGTCCCATCAAATGCCATCCGAAAACCTACCGGCGCATCGACGGCCTGTGCAACAACGTCAAGTTCCCCAACTGGGGCGCCACCAGGCGTCAGTTCCAGCGGTGAGGACCGGTGGCGTTTTTTACGGCAGGGACAGCCTGCTCGGCGGTTTAGTGCACGCTTGTGAAGGCCAGGGACGCCTTTCTGCACAGCCTGAGCGAGACGAGGCCGGCAGATTTCGGCGTCCTGCTGTGATCACCTTGACAAACTGTGCGGATGCTCATGGGTGCCGCGATCGATCATGCTTAGTTACGGAAGACATAAGCTTAGACATGCGTTTTGGCAAGGCTTGGCCTGTTATAATTTGCAGCTGACATAATTACAGTGGCATTCAAGATGATGTTTACCGGGCATGCATACAATATTTTTCCTCGTTTCCACATTGCATATCGTGTGTCCCATGCTGTGTATCAGGCTGGCCCTCATACACTGTGTGTTGATTCGTTGATCAGGCTGCTGGAGCCCGTGTACCCGGACGGCATCGACCGGCCCAACATCGACGACATGCCCAGCCCGCGAATCGTCTCGGCCACGGTGCACAAGGACCGCGACCTGTTCGACCACGCCTCCACGCTTATGATGATCGCCTGGGGACAGTTCATGGACCACGACTTCACGCTGACCTTCACACGGCCAGGTCAGGAGTTACTCCGGCCTTCGCACAACCTTCACATCTACATCCGGGTTGGATTACTTGGATGCTGCACCTAACTGTGTCATCATGTCTATTGTTGTCATAAAAATATCAATTTTTCCCCGCAAAGCATAGAGTCAAAAAACATCATACGCCGTCAATTCTAACGCTGCAAAGAGAAATGTTACAAATGAATGCTTGTTTGCATTGAACTCGTTTCCACTAGATCGCAAATCAATCACTTATCCGGACCCAGCCACCATTATCCCTCAACTGCCCTGCCCTAGTCTGACCTGCCCTGCCCTCTCCTACCCTGACCTGACCTCACCTGTCCGCAGACGAGCGGACCCTGAACGAGCCGGAGGACTGCTGTCGTAACTCGGGTCCCCAGGACTGCCTGCCCATCTCTGTCCCGCGGGACGACCGCTTCTTCTCGCGCTATGGAGTCGACTGCATCAACTTCGTGCGCGGCCAGCCGGGCATCCGTCAGTTCTGCAGACTCGGTGAGCGGGCCGTGGGACTCTCCAAATGACGATTTTGAGGTCTTTTTTCACACGAAAAGGGTTTCATTGAATCAATAAACAGATGATGAAAGATGAGTGGTCTGCGAGGAACAATGGAGAAACATTGAAACACATTAACAATATCTTCCCACGTCTTATCCTGTTATATCTTAAATTGTAATTTGTATCTCAACTTACTTGTGGTAATTTTATTATGCAGAAGCCAGTGTTATAAGACAGACTCCTTTTGACAGGTTCACGCTCTGGCTTCAACGTCCTGACATCAGTCATTGACGGCGGAACCGTGTACGGAGGAACCGACGAGGCCGCCAGGTTAGTGCGTCATCCGTGACACTACGAGCTGAGCTCAAAGACACGGGCTAGATACACATCATCTAAATCTCTTTTCTCTTTTCTACATGAATATTTATTACGCAGTTTTCGTCACGTGTTCTTGTTGTTGTCGTTTTTTCTTTAGTTTTGTTTATGCATACATTGATTTTGCTTTATTTGCATACATTGCATACATTGCATTGCTTTTTTCATATTTCGTCTCTTTTTGTCCTTATCCTACCTAACCATTGTCAGCCCTGGGTATTCAGCGGACGTCACTAGCAATGCTATCTGTCTGCTGGGTCCCCAGGAGTAACCTTTTTACTAATACCTGTGGTGGCGGGCTGTCCATAGCTAGAAAAAAAGAGCGGGGAGTGATGTGACCTAATGTGCTTGAATTCCCCTCCTTGAATGAAGTTCTATGGTACTTAACGTAGCCAGGTCACATGGGCATGGAAGGGCACTCCTGCATACCTGTTCCACTATGTTTCACATGGTGGACTATTCAATAGGTATGGGGCAAAAAAAATATCAACATGGCACTAGTGCTGCATAGTTCATACAGCATAATTGTGGAAAACCGGCCTCACTGACGAAGCCCATGCTGGCAGCGATTTACGGATGTTCGAGGGTGGCAAACTCAAGTCGTACATGCCGGAGCACTTCAAGCAGTACGGCATGCTGCCGCTGCTGCCGCAGAGGTTCGAAAACCACGACGAGGGATGCATCAGAGAACACCCGGGCCAGAGGTGCTTCCTGGCAGGTAAGAACGGAAACCCACGAGACCCGACATTGTGTCAGCAAAGACAAGCGTCTCTTAGCAACACTAGCATCAGTTTCAGCGCATCGGTTTGCATCACCGTGCCCGAGTCCATACAATGACTCGACACAGAGCAAGAGACGACTAGAGTCTGCATCACTTTTTGAACTAGAAGCGAGTAATCTGCGCGAGCATTTTAATGTTTTTAGCGCACTGTTTCAACTTCCGTGTATTTCTGGTTGTGCCCGAGATCATCAATTGGGTATAAGGCGTCGATTATATCGCTAATTATACGGATACAACTAGCCACAAGCTTAACAACGTCAATGGGTATACGCCTAAATGTTGAGCCTCACCTGACGGATGTCTATCTCCCCACAACAGGCGAAATCAGGGTGAACGAACAACTGATCCTGAGTACAATGCACCTGACGTGGTTCAGAGAACATAACCGCATCTGTGCCATCCTGAAGAAGCTCAACCCACACTGGGATGACGAGAGGTTGTATCAGGTAAAAACGAGTCGTACCGTCTCCTCAGGTAGTTAAGAACATATAGAGAATAACTTGAATGGTTGAAACATTACGCGCAAACTTAGCGATATTTTTAACGATAAGAACACTGCTCAGATGTTATATGTATTACTGTGTCCCTCCATTATCGTTGAATGAAACCTATAATCTATACAATGCACATATATTCAAATCAATTTGCCAATAACATTGACAGAGGACTGATAAATGCATAAATTGTTGACTGAAATAAGCTTTACGGTATCGATCGTAACACTCTGAAATAGTACTATGAATAATGACTTACATAAAATTGGTCATAGCAAAGGACATATGTGGTAAATGGCAGTTACCTTGGGTGTCCTTGGAGTCCCGAGATAAGACACCAAGCCGATCTCGGCCGATCTGGTCAGTTCCGCTACGCACGCCGCGTCTTTTCCTCTGGACTAGGTAAATATTCCTGGAAAGAACTCGGAAGTAGGACTTGCGTCACTGCGGTCATCGACCGACCGCGGGCTCCACGCACAAACGTGCAGTGTGGCGCTGTCCTCGTTTTACGTAACCCCATGATTCACACGTAACAAAACGGCCTGTGCAGCGTCGTGATCGCAAAGAACGGGGTTACGATGCAGGGCAGAGATCCACAGGGAGATAGCAGAGGCTTACCGACCTCCCATTCTACTGCGGATATTTCAGGAGACACGGCGCATTGTGATCGCCTGCATCCAGCATATCACCTTCAACGAGTTCCTTCCCATGCTGCTTGGCAAGCGGACCATGCAGGAGCACGACCTCATTCTGCAAGATCACGTGAGTCGTGGCATGGAGAGTGAGCACTGACATCACCTGTCGCGAGAGCATGCTATTTTGTCGTGTCTAACCACGGCCCGTTTGCCAAACTTTGTGGCATTATTGAACGGTGCTAGCGAAAGATCCCTTGTCCTTGTCGGTGTACGTTTACCAATCAATGGTATCTTCCGATAGCGATATGATCAGTAGGCAGTAAAGATCTATTTCCTCGTGCTGGAAAGGCCAGATTCCGTGGAATTGTTATATCAAACCTGCAATAGCAGCAAAAATTAGCTGCAAATAGCACACGTCAAACGAAAAGCAGTGCTGCAACTGCAGTGTGTATTTGCTGTAACAAGCGTACCTACCGTTCTTTTGCACTGATTTGTCATTGCGCAAGGCGCAAACATGTGTCCTAGCGCCGAAGCTTGGAACTAGGTCACCACTTCATTATTGTATTTTGTTTACCCTAAGCAATTTGCCAAAGTCGTGTTTGGTACCTCGGTGATTTTGCAAATCACAGATCGAGTTTTCGTTGTCAATGAACGCCGTGCTAATGCAAGGTTATCATGTAATTAAGTATAGCTGAATTAAATCAGTGAAGCGATAAGTTATGTCAGCAAGGTGATACGGTAAATGCTTTCATTGAGATATAATGGGCATCAATCATTGCCTTGAGCATGGGTAAATCTGAACAGTTTTATCAGTCAAATGCTTAATTTTGAAAGCTATATGTAAGTTAAACGCATCAAATGCCTCTACTTTCCGTCACACCTCTCACGGCGCGTCCTCTCCGTGTCTGCTACTGCAGGGTTACTGGGACGGATATAACGAGTACGAGGACCCCAGCATCACTCTCGGCTTCATGACGTCAGCGTACCGCTTCGGCCACAGCCTGCTGCCGACCGTCGTCGAAAAGTGGAGCCCCACGCACAAATATATCGGTGAGTACCATCGAAAAGTGGAGCCCCGTACCACAGGAAAATGGACCCCCACGCACAAGTATATCGGTGAGTACCGACGAAAAGTGGAACCCGACGCACAAATATATCGGTGAGTACCGTCAAGAAGTGGAGCCCTAGCCCCTAAGTATAAACAAGTATATGCATGGGCGAGTACGTTCGAAAAGCGGAGCCCTACGGGCTACGCAAAAAATGCATCGGTAAATACAGCCGAAAAGTAAAGCCACATGCAGAAATAGATCGGTATTTATCGTCGAATAGAGGAGCTGAATCAAAGGCGGCACAAGTGCCAGTGGTCCATGCACCACATGCAAGCAGCCCGGTAGTGTGCGGACTGTGCACTGTCCCAGCTTCCAGAACAATATGTCCTGCTGGCCAGTCGGCCGCACCTCCACGTGCCCTGAGCCCGGCGAGGATTGTGGTCTGCCCTAATCTGTCGGTGGAACATGCCGGCTGCTCAGGACACAGAACAAAAATGGGCCGCGGCAGCTTATGGTCAGTGGCACGCTGTGCAGAACGACTGACACAACCAGAGTGGTTTGTACTGTTCGGTTAGAATTCAGCGTCAATTCCATATTTTTGCTTCTACAGGGTGTCCCAGAATTACCCGGACATTTATTTTCTGGCTAAAAGTGCGATTGCGCTCGATTCTAATGATATACAAGCATCATACTTTTATAAGATATCCCTTAGCTATCGAGCTTGGGGACTGTGTGTTTTTGGTGACCGGTAACGACTCGAGTCAATTATTATCCAGAGTCAAGTAAGAGTAGTCCTTTTCCGTTTTCAGCTTAAGCCACGAATAGGCAACCATGGTGAAACAACTCCCGTTTTCGACTTTGTAAACGGACTTTCGGCATGGTTTTTGCTGGAGAGCTTCAGCAGCTCATCTGCAAGCAGTTAGGATTGAGCAAAGCGCAATTATATCAGCTAACGAAGCCAGAGAGAGCAAGAGATAAACCTGATTGACAAGCTTGGGCTCGGCCAAATAGGGCCATGCACCAGTTGTCAAACGGGTGGTTGCTTATCATGGACAACAAACGTCACTGATCTAGCTAAAAACTAGCTAAACGATAGATCAGGATTATCTAAAGAACATCAGTCTACTTTCCACCCCTATCTTCGCAAAATTTTGGAATGTGGGGTCCCTCGCCTGAAAAATATGCGAAAACGACGGGAAAAGCAGCGAAAAACACTACAATTCATCCCAAAAATATATCATATACAACAAAAAATTATATTGAAGCACACTTTGTGGTCTAACGAAGGTATTCTGTCATTTGAACCGCCCGAAAAAGACGTGTGTGAACGTCAGATGGCTACAACGCCCCAACAGCAGAGACGGCCAGGCACCCGTCGAAAATCAAATTGTGAGACATTTTGAGCCACCGTGCACTCATTCGGCTTGATATGATGGCCCAACGACAGCCGTTAGCACAGAGTACTACTGCGGTAATATTCTACCAGTAAAAAAACTGGATGCGGTAAACCAAATGGCCATGAACGGGTTTGTTTTGGAAACCAAATCTGTTGGAAGCCAAAGGTCCCGCCATGTTCAGACATGGAGCTTCTCCACTTCAGATGTAAAAAACGCGGCAAAAGTGGTGTAGGCAGCAATTTTTGTTTTGGGGGATAATGCCTTATGACCTGGGAACACTTTGATGTTAAGTTTATCTTATATGATCGTATTATCCTCCGGCAACAGGTCAAAGAAAACAGGCCTTCACCCAGTTTCGGGAGAACCGTAAAACAACTGAGACCAGCAATGGCTGGCATTTTCAATCATTGTCGGCTCATCTTGTAACAAGCGTATCTATTGCATGTGCTATTTCACAGCCACCTTAGTTGACTATATAGGACGATAAAAAGAAAAAGGCGCAATCATGTTTGCCTTATTTTATACGCTAATTAACAATGTCCGGGTAATTCTGGGACACCCTGTATATCTGATAGTGGTGTGGTGCATTATCATGAGTGACCTCTCAGACCTGACCCGGCGGCCGTCTGACCCGTTGACACCCCCTGTCCCGTCCTCAGCGGAGCGGAACCTGGCTGACCTGATCCGGCGGCCGTTCGACCTGTACGAGCCGGGTGCCGTCGACGAGTACATCCTGGGACAGCTCAACCAGCCGGCCATGGCCATGGACTTTGCCATCACCGAGGAGGTGGGAAGTGGAACAGACGCAATCCTTCCCCGTGACGAAGGATTTATTCAGAGACACTGGACCGACTTTTTGTGGTTATTCGTAATTTCAACATCAGTTCGATTGGTCGCTCGGCTCTTGGAGTCTGATTTAGTACTATTTTTCCATAACATCTATCGCTAATCGCAATGAATAGCTGTTCTATTTATTTTGATAAACGTAGCGGGCAAATCAGATCATATCAAAGGATCCACCACTGACCACCTCCCCTCCCCTCCCTCCGTCCGCAGGTCACCAACATGCTGTTCCGTCAGCCGAACGAGGAGCACGGCATCGACCTGGTGTCGCTGAACCTGCAGCGCGCCCGCGAGATGGGCGTGCCCGGCTACATGCACTACCGCAAGTGGTGCGGCCTGCCCACCACCGGACACTGGCCGGAGCTGAGGGAGTACGTCAGCAACCACACGGCCGGACTCTACAGCGAGCTCTACCGGTGAGCAAACGGCACCTGAAAAACTGTTAACTGCAGGTCCACGTATCCCCCAGGTCCGGCCCGAGCTATACCGGTGAGAAATCGGCAACCGGGAGGCCGTACCTACCCCCAGTCTCAGCCCGAGCTCTGCCGGACATTGTGCCCGTCAGCACGGTCCGCCATCGGCCTACCGAGTTAAAAACGTCCGATCAACTCCCGGCACACGGAGAGCACCCACTAACCGGTCTGGCAGCCGTCCCGCGGCTGATGGGCGCGCGGAGAGATTTCGTGCGGGACGGGTATGGACGAAAGGATTTCATGTGTGATATGGATCCACTGACAGGTTCTGGACCTGCAAATAGGTGCTAATTTATAGAGGGAATAGAAACATTCTTTTCAAAAATGCTTCCCCAAAAAAGTGCTCACGTAGTTAACTTAAAGTCACATTATTTGCCATTGACGTCATTCATATGTGCAACATTTGACGCGAGGTCAGAGTGAAATCCCTTCTGAGTTCACGCCGCGTTAACCGCTGACCGCTGTGCCCAGGTCGCCGTGGGACATTGACCTGTTCTCGGGCGGCATCTCGGAGCGGCCGCTGCCCAGCAGCATGGTGGGCCCCACGTTCGCCTGCATCATCGCGGCGCAGATGCACAAGGTGCGCCACGGCGACCGCTTCTGGTACGAGCTGGGAGGCCAGCCGTCCAGCTTCACACCAGGTGAGCACACCGGTCATCAGCTGACCTCTTCTGCAAAAGAAGTACCAATAGATGGATCATTTTGACGGGTTCACCCTTGTTACGACTAGCACGTTGAGCTGAGGTAATAGCTGAAGACAGGAAGCCATATACGCCTCATGTGTAACGGCCGGAGCTATCGGACGCTAAACAGACGTCACAAGTTGCGGGTTAAACCGATACAAATACCCATAGCCCATAAAAACCACAAAAAAAATAGATGAACTACCGACTAACTGAAGTCCGCAGCCAGTGCGACGCCGCTACTCACTCCCGATCTCCGTGTCTTCACGCTGTTGCAGACCAGCTGCAGCAGATCCGCCGGGTGCAGCTCTCCCGAGTTCTCTGTGACAACACAGACAGGATCAGGACCATCCAGGTGTACCCGCTGGTCCTACCCGACTACGACGCGTAAGTAGCAGCGCCCGGACTCTGGTTAGCAAGTGTGCAGGCCTACTTCTAGTTTCAGATCGGTAAAATACGAAACTGACTCCTCTTTTTGTCATCTTCCTATTGCACCCATGCCCAAGCTTCAATGACTACACCAGCAGTAAACAAGCGCTTACCTGCTACTCCGTTCTACACGTCTGCTCCATACGCTCTGTTCTTACCTGCTGCTTCTCTTTCAACGTCACATTAACACAGAACAAATGTAACTTGGAAACAGAACGAAATAATAGCGTTCAACAGTCAACACCGCACGGCGCTGCCGTCGGTTTCGAAAAAGCGTTCGGCGCCCGGATGCGAACCGGGGACCTTTCACTTCGTAGCCGGACACCCTATCCACTACACTACCGCAGTCGGAGCAGCCGCCCGCGCATCGAGTACATTAAAATCAACGGCATGGATTGCTGTCTGGACGACTACGTGGACTAGAAGATAAGGAACTTCATCAAAATTAATGACCATCTCTTATTCATTACATATTCTATATTAGCTGTTTATTCCATTTCATATACCTGAAACATTTTGCCTGAGTAACGTTGTGAGTAAGCCAATGAAAATCAATAGATATCAACGACCAACCTTCGCACCTTCGCTGGGAGTGGTGGCGTGCTCCTGTAATCCGGCTACTCGGAGGCGTGGTTCCGTGGATCTCTTGAGGGCGGGAGTCCTCCCCAGCGGCGGTCTGTGTCGATCGGGTGTCCGCACTAAGCCCGGCATCAATATGGGGCCCCCGGAGGAGTCCGGGGTCGCCAGGTTGACTAAGGAGGTGCGTACCGGGCCAGGCGGGTGACCGAGCAGCCAAAAGTACCCGTGTCGGGCAGTAGTGGGATCGCGCCTGAGAACAGCCGTCGCTGGGGAGCCCGTCCAATAGAGGGAGACCGGATCCTTTTCTGATGTTAGGCAGTGACGACTTGCTTTCATTATATTTTTTCATCTTTGTCGTGTCCGTTTCACTGTCTGAGCCCAACTGAAAGGCTTCCTGTCGGCAAGAGGATCGGTTAAATATTTAGGGAACCGGCGTCACAAAACAAACTAAAAGCCATGACATCAAGAACTTTCTATACCGAGGCAGAAAAAGACATGCAATATGCGAATTAAATAGACATGGCACATGTTATGTGAATCCCGAAAAATGAGGGAAACTTCAAGCAATGGTAAACACTCCGAACGCTAATTAATTCTAATGTCTATATTCAACAACACCTATGGCATACCTGTGCACGCCTTTCAGATAACCCAAGCATTTGACACGATTGAACCAAGCAGTGCCGCAGGCGCAGTGCTGTAGGAATATGGTGCCAGTGTGAGGTTAAGAGACGTCGCCGCTGTCTTGAATTTCACTTCACAAATTGCTTCAAATTTGGTCAGTTGACTATGACAGTGTAATATAATTATCTCACACAACACTGGAAAAACAATTTCATGAAAGGACATAGAACAAGATATTACGATTGGTCAGGCGAAATGAGATTCCAGGCGGAAACACAAATAAAAAATTGGCGGGTTAGTTTAACATTACGGGGATAGGCCGCGGAAACTATTGTACCTATTACCATCATTACCGCGCAGCGGTGAGCGGCGGCTTCTCATCCGACGACGAATATTTAGAATCCCATAATTCAGATTTGGGTAAGTTCCACAAGAACGACTTGGTGATTTCCTTCATAAGAACTTACGTGCTATTAGTGTCCTGAGACAAAGCAAAAAGAATAGTAAAAAAGAAAAAAGGCTATGTGAAACCCGGGGGAATCACCATTAGACGCACGATTATGAATTTCGACGCGGGCAAATCAGGGAAAAGCCGTTCAATTGCGACTTCCGTCGACCAGCCGTATGCACGATTATGCCAATCCCCACAGATACCGCGACTTGACACGGGTGTATCTGGCCTGTTCCAGGAACCCCCGCGTGGCCTGCGACAGCGGCGTCCTGCCTCACGTAGACCTCAACTACTGGCGGGAGGACCCGCACTAATAGTTCGCCGAGCGGCCACCAGAGGCGCTGAGTGTATCTGCCGAGCCATACAATGAATGCTCGGTGAAAGTGAAAGACGTTTGCAGCGATCCCAGCCAGTCACGGAGCGTCGTCACAGTCCCTGCCAAAGTGTCCGATAACAGCAACTGTATAACTATCAAACCAATGCAGCTCTCGATATATTCTAGAGAGAAATAAGAAAGTGTCAGCAGGAGAGGGGTGCCCCCTCCACCCAGCCAACGAGAAGGTCTCGCCGCTGAGCCAAAGTTAGTGACGAGCAAATATCGAGAGTGCTGGGACAGAGTATTTGGCGGACACTTGAGGCCGTGAGCAGGGCACTGTGATTGTGCCAGCGCCGTGTTGTTATTGGGAAGTCTCGTAGGCAAGTGTGTTACCTAACTGACATTGTTTATATAGAGACATCAATGTGGTAGCTGGTTTTTATGTCGGTAAATGATGCATGCCCCATTTGTAGACATGGTTCGTGTTTTCCTCTTTGTTCCCATGGTGAAACCATGGAAGGAAACCAAGATTATGTGAATGACATGTCTGAGAGTATATAAACAACCTGTTTAAATGAGAGTTTACAGCGGTCACCATTGCTGGGTGTTATTTGCGACAGTGCAACTGAATGAGAGGTGCTTGGCTTGCGATGCTTGTTACAAGTAATACCTGAATGATGCAACGTCAAGTTTAATTTGATGCAGCAGTCCACTTCAATTAACTTTGAATTCGGTCCATTAGACCATTAGGTATTCAAGTGCAATGCAACATGATAAAAGCTCATGAGGATTTTTTGGACAACTCATTGAGACGCTGCAATCATGCGAACAGGCGTAACATAACTTCAATACTAATAGAAAAGATAAGGCTTACGTATTTTAAGTAGAATCAGCCATATAAGCCTTACGAGTGCAAATGAATCAATCGAAAAGTGACTTCCGTAGCCTGGCATGCCTGCTGAGTGCTGAGACCAAGGCGCTGGCCGCTGAGACGTATGAAGTTCACCACTTGAAGTGCTTAGCGAAATCATCCCTATATCACGAGCCCTGCCTGCATCACACAGCGACGCAAATGCTAATTTGCCCCATCAAGAATCAACAAAAATACTTACTCACCGTCATGCAATAGGCAATCCAAAATGGTTGTGCACGATCACCGAAGTTAAAAAAATGAAACCTCACAAATTTAAAAAGCAATTTTAAATCGCGAACGGCCGCCCGCGAAAAGTGCAAACCGGAATAAACGGGCACATATAAAATTGCAACAGTGCAGTGGTCGGCTCCGCTCCCGAAGACAACCAACGGTATATAGGGCCTTGCAACCAACGAACGGCTCAGCGCGGCAAAACAGCCATTCTCGTGGATACGCTTCAGTCAGTGGTCCTCCAGATGAGAAACAAAACGCATGCAATACTGCTAGGACTACCGTAAAGTGGGGCTATTTGAGACAGTGGGGCTATTTGAGACCGCAAGGCAATGGTATAGTAAAATCGCTGTAAAATGAAAACCGTTTGATGTTTTTTCGTCATTTTTGCTTAGGCTGATGTGGAATTGAACAATGAATGCTCTGAATAACCTTTTTGAAAATTTCGAAAAGTTCTGAAAGAAATTTGCAATAAAATACGAAATACAGAAAAACGCACAATTTAAGTTGCTCGAAAAGGACCCCTACCTGCAACTTAAAAAAGTTGAAGCTTTAACAGCTTCGCCACTGTATCTATCGCTACTACCTTTTTGCTTATAGGTTAAGCACATTTTTCATGAAAATATTATATATTGTTAACGGTACTGCCGATTGCGTAACCCATTGTCTCAGAATCCCGATGATGCTCACCTGGTCAAACCTCAACGGATATGCCAAATAGCTGATGATAACGGTGATGCGATGCACCCGAGAAGACTTGCCGCCATCTACCTGAAGTGCATCGACCGTTCGACATGAGCAACACCGGTGAATCTGTCGTGGTCATAAGCGTGCAGTGGGTTCATGGTAGGTAATTTAAGCAGCAAGCAATATTTACATGTTCGTAGTGTAACATAATAACCCTTTAGCTGGTGACCAAACTAGTTATTCTGATGAATATGTGCATAAAATGTGCTTCATCAGTCACTGACTTAGTCGACAATCAACATGTCTACCTTGGTTGACCAAAAAAACACCATCGAATGTTACTTAACACATGAACGTACTGTTAGGTGAGCCTATCCAAGTACTTGATGTGGTAGGGTAACCGGCCAATCGATACGGCATGCAGCGATCGAGGAAAATCGGCATAAAATCAAAACCGTTTAACATTTTTCTGTCATTTCTTCACATGGAGATGTACAATGGAACAAACAATCATGCAGACCATTCACTCAAATGTTTTGGGAAACCTTTTGCCTTGTTTGATTCATTACAGTGTGCTTCATAAGGTAGCGAGACTGTCTCAAATAGCCCCACCGACTTTCGGTATATCTGTTTTCACGTCACCGGGGCTATATACAAAAACTTACTTTCAAAATTTTACTGTCGATGACTTTAAAATGGTCCTTGATGATCATCCCGTCAGTTTGAAAGCTATGGGTCACACCATATTATGATAGCCTTAGCATATAGTGATGCAATTTTATACCCTACTGAAATGAAGTGTCCTACGAAAAAGGAAAAGATTGAATATAAAAGTCATATAACAGTCTTTGAAAAAACAATTTATGCCAAAATGATCAAAATTCAATTTCCAAATGCATGGCGTTTAAAAAATTATCTCTAGCGTGACCGATTTTCTTTAATTTCCTTGCAACTAAAACTGTCTCAAATAGCCCCACCCTATGGGGCTATTTGAGACAGGCTTTAACATAAAAAATAACCTCAGTCATTGTTACTAGCTGAACCAAAATACACCTATATGAAAGAGCTCACAGAGAACTACATTTTTGCAATTTACATGCTATAAGAAATATGAGCCGTCTTAAAGGGAGAGGCAAAAAACTGTAAAATCCGTTTCAAATAGCCCCACTTTACGGTACCAATTAAACATAGCCTGTAACCCTCGCCGGCACTAGCGATTACTGTTATGTCCGAAAGATGAAATGTAAGTGGGGCGACCTCCTGGAGTCTGTGTCCAAAATACCGTCTTCATTCTACACATAAGTTTAAGTTTTATTGTTACGGTAAAATCAGCGTATTTCTGGCTGACTGACGGGTGTATTGAATAAATGCAAGCGCAAGCTCAAGGCCGAACTAAATAATAAATATTGGTTAAGGGCTTGGATAATAAATGTTGACAACCAGCGGGAACCGGGGCAAATGCCAGCCAGCTTTGGGGAAGGAAATAAATGAAAATGCTGCCATAATAATCGACTGATTGACCTCGCGTAGAAATTAATTTTAGCTCTCAGAGTCCAGAGATAACGTACATACCTAGAAACAGTACGAGGCAAGGATAACGCCGGAAGTTTGGAACAAAGTTGCACCCCGACCGAACTCGACCAGCGCACAGTGTGGCCGAACGCCAGTTTAGCGCGAATTTAATCCCAGCGCCGCTCGGATCCACTGAAAATGGTTCTCTGGTTCCAAAACTGACACTTACCCCTCGCCGGACTTATTGGTTTTCAAAATACGCGCCGGCCGAAGGGGGGTACGACCCCCGTCGCTGTTTCGCCCCTGATGGAGCTAGAGCCCCGCGGAAAAAAACAAGCGTGTGCGCCGTTACGAGACGCAGCGACTGGTATCCGATTTTAAGGTCTCAGGCCAACCTGTGACCTCTGAGGTCAGGTCAAGTGACCCAGGCGCGGATTCATTTTTTATTAATAACTTCGCGAAAAAATGCCGCAGAGCCGCAATTTTGGTATCATCATGTTCGCCTCACTCAGGCGCGTCGAATGGTATACTTTTTGTTCGGCTGAAGTTAACTTATGGTGTTGACCGTGGGTCAAGGTCAGGTCAGAGTCCTCCAGATCACGAAGTTGGTTGAAGGAGGTCATGTTGCATATCATTCGATTCGGCAAGTCTTCCTGAGTCCATTGGTGGCTTTCTCGACTCGCTAGCTCAATTTAATCGGGAGTTATTGACGAAAAACTCTTATTACCCTGACGTCATAAATGACGTCACGTAAGACCAACAATGCATAAGTGAAGCATCGGACCTTGCAAGGAGTGCATGAAATCACGATTTCGTGTGCTTGAGATAGTTTATTAGGCTGGAGCCTGTCCGGCCGCGCCGCCCCCGACCTTGGTCAGGTCACATAGGGCGGCCGACTAGACATGTTCAAAGCTGAGTTGACGGCAAATAGGCAAAAACTGGCAGCTGAAACTTGCTCGCTTATGTTCAGAAAGGTGCGGAGAGTTCAGCCATGCCCTATTCGTCATATCCATTTTTATCCATTTTGACATTTTTCAACTTCTTTATCAAATACTATCGTGAGAACGATACATATGCAGGGCTCTTGTTCTAACTCATTAAACTCAAAAACCATTCATTGAAAAACTACCATGATAGCAGAAACAGCTTCATCATGAATTGTGCTATCCGGTGATATGCTATTTTCTCATATGTCTTCTCGAAACTTCCGTAAAATTTACGTTGAAAACTGGACATATTTATCAGTACCATAGCCCGATTTTAGGAACCGGAGCGTGGGTCTACTTTCGGCAGGGATATAAGTCCTCAAATGGTAAAGTGGCTTAAAAACAAGGTTCTATCCGATAACTTCAGACAATTTCCTACCCACTGATAGGTATCAATAACAGTTTATCGAAAGTCGGGTTTTTGATTAAATTCGCGCTAATCTGGTATTCGGCAAGACCGTGCAGCGGTCGGACGAAACGCAGCGGTCGTCATTCGTAAAAAAATCAAATTATTTATTAGCAGGATATTGAGATAGCTGTGCCGGCGAGGGTTTGATAACAATCATGCACTACGAACGATAAGTCAGAGGCAGCATATATACATACGCCACCGCTGACAGGGTACGTCACCGATCGGTGCATCTGGACGAAGTTCCTTTCCGTTCATCACCGGCGGCGGGAACAGCTGAGCGTGAATGTCCGTCCGTCAGACCCAGCTCTCCCAACGAGCTTCAGTTCACTCGCTCGCCTTTCCCTCTCACGTCAACGTTCGTCCCCCGACGATCTACAACTGCACTCTTGGTTCTCACTTCTCAATCACTTACACATTTTTAAGGTCCACGAATATCACAAAGCTTCACCACACTCGCCACTGGAGTCGTTTCACCCACACCCCTTCAGCCATGCCTCGTCACTGACCGCATCACGCGCGCCCGACAACCGACAACAATGCTCAATTCGCGTCACATTTCTGCTTGTCTCCGCGTGCGCGCGCGCTCTGCTGGACGCTGATTGGTCGAGACGCGTCTCGTCACCGCCTCGGGCGATCTGACACCCGGAGTGGGGGGAGGGGGTTGGGGGAGGGGAGGGGGAGGGGCGTCGGACGGCTGAAGGGAATGAGACGGCCGCTACACGCATAGTACATTACACAATACACAATACACAATACACATTATACAATGCACATTGCACACTACACAGTAAACCTCGGCAATCATGATTTATGATTCATGACTCGTGGGCTTCGGGGCTATCGCCGGATGACGAAAACGTGCAACGGCCGTGAACGGGTGTTGCATTGAAGTTAAATTTGTTTGCATTATACGTTTTGTATTCGTTCCTATCGAATTGTTGCGGAGCTCCTCCAAAAATGTTTTGTAGGTGCGTCAGCGTGTTTCCACTCACTCGACAACGAAAATAAGAATAAATGCCATCTCGCTCTTGGTACCTACACATTACACAAAAAGGACAGTTGACACCCCAAACTACACACATCACGCAACACATGTTATTCATTAACTGCTGCGCATTATCCGCTCTAGACGGATGGCAGAATGACCCATATCAGTCGGCATCCTGTGCAGTGTGCAGCCCGACTTTGATAATGTGGGACCGATTCCCTTCTTCCATATCATGATAAAGAGAGTACACGTTCAAGCTTTGTTACAATGAAATACCCGTCACTTTCCCCTTCGTGACGGCACCGCCCGACGACCTAGATATACCAGAAGGTCGGCGGACCGGTCCTTCATTGTGCAACCACCTTGCATATAACGCACAGGCACTGGCGAACCCCAATCAGAACCACAGTTGCAATACAAGTCTCGGCCCGCTCAGTCGTCTCTCCATCCGCGCCTCCGCGACAATGGTGGCAGCGGCGGTCGAGGGGACTTGTGCCCCTCACCACGGACCCCAGCCTCTACATCTGCACTGACATCGCAGACTGGTTAGTCCGTGCTCCGTGACAGTGTATCGCCCCTACGTCACGTCATCGACTAGGGAGCTGACCATCCTGGACTCGTCATCGTCCGACATCACCGTCTCCAGTGAGTAGCTCTGCCCGGCAATACCATCTGCCCATGCGGCAACGTCATCAGCTACCCTGGACTACTACGGAGCCCGCCGACAGCGCACGGCTCATCAGCCCGCGCCGTCCTCCTCAGCATTATCGAGTGATGGACGCCACCTCGCTGAAGGACTCAAGATCGGAGGAGAGAAGAGAAGAGAAAAAAAATATCAACGCTAAATTCAAGACAAATTGACACCCAAAATCAAGACAATTCACCCATTATGAACTTTTGCTGTATTTTCGTTAAAAAGTGACAGTGAAATTGTGCTGTGAAATTTGTTTTAACTTCGATGTGTTTCACAAACCGTACTGTTTCATTATCCGTTTTCGTCAGTGTTCTGTCGTTTGTTGCGCTTCATTGTGGTTGCTCACCCCAAAATTCACGGAGAAATTGCAAGTGCGTTTAATTTTGCCTGCATTTTGCAGTGTCACTTTGACACTAATAAGCATAAAAAGAGCATATTCTGAAGTCGGTATGAACATTCAAATACGTTAATCGTGGTCAATTCACTGAAATTATATTGTATTGATATTCGGCCAGAGATGCCGAGGGCCATGGAGATGCCCAGGGACGGTCCCCGCCAAGAGTGCGGAGGGATCGCCCGGTAGTAGGTGTAATTGTCACGAAACTTACTTATCTGTTCATACCATTTTGTGATACGCTCATATGGAAATTTCTTTCTCCGTCAGCTAAACGTTTCCTCTCTTTGTTATGATCGCTTCGGTTCCCTACGCTTCCCTGGGGGAGGGAAGATAATGTGGGACCGATTCCCTTCTTCCATATCATGATAAAGAGAGTACACGTTCAAGCTTTGTTACATAGAAATAGCCGTCACTTTCCCCACGTGTCGGCACCGTCCACCGACCCGGCGGGTCGGCGGACCGGTCCTTCATTGTGCAACCACCCTGCATATAACGCACAGGCACTGGCGAATCAGAATCAGAACCACAGTTGCAATACAAGTCTCGGCCCGCTCAGTCGTCTCTCCTTCCGCGCCTCCGCGACAATCCATTGTCGCGGAGGCGCGGATGGAGAGACGACTGAGCGGGCCGAGACTTGTATTGCAACTGTGGTTCTGATTGGGGTTCGCCAGTGCCTGTGCGTTATATGCAAGGTGGTTGCACAATGAAGGACCGGTCCGCCGACCTTCTGGTATATCTAGGTCGTCGGGCGGTGCCGTCACGAAGGGGAAAGTGACGGGTATTTCATTGTAACAAAGCTTGAACGTGTACTCTCTTTATCATGATATGGAAGAAGGGAATCGGTCCCACATTATCTTCCCTCCCCCAGGGAAGCGTAGGGAACCGAAGCGATCATAACAAAGAGAGGAAACGTTTAGCTGACGGAGAAAGAAATTTCCATATGAGCGTATCACAAAATGGTATGAACAGATAAGTAAGTTTCGTGACAATTACACCTACTACCGGGCGATCCCTCCGCACTCTTGGCGGGGACCGTCCCTGGGCATCTCCATGGCCCTCGGCATCTCTGGCCGAATATCAATACAATATAATTTCAGTGAATTGACCACGATTAACGTATTTGAATGTTCATACCGACTTCAGAATATGCTCTTTTTATGCTTATTAGTGTCAAAGTGACACTGCAAAATGCAGGCAAAAATTAAGCGCATTTGCAATTTCTCCGTAAATTTTGGGGTGAGCAACCACAATGAAGCACAACAAACGACAGAACACTGACGAAAACGGATAATGAAACAGTACGGTTTTTGAAACACATCGAAGTTAAAATAAATTTCACAGCACAATTTCACTGTCACTTTTTGACGAAAATACAGCAAAAGTTCATAATGGGTGGATTTTCTTGATTTTGGGTGTCAATTTGTCTTGAATTTAGCGCTGATATTTTTTTTCTCTTCTCTTCTCTCCTCCGATCTTGAGTCCTTCAGCGAGGTGGTGTCCATCACTCGATGATGCTGAGGAGGACGGCGCGGGCTGATGAGCCGTGCGCTGTCGGCGGGCTCCGTAGTAGTCCAGGGCAGCTGATGACGTTGCCGCAGGGCAGATGGTATTGCCGGGCAGAGCTACTCACTGGAGACGGTGATGTCGGACGATGACGAGTCCAGGATGGTCAGCTCCCTAGTCGATGACGTGACGTAGGGGCGATACACTGTCACGGAGCACGGACTAACCAGTCTGCGATGTCAGTGCAGATGTAGAGGCTGGGGTCCGTGGTGAGGGGCACAAGTCCCCTCGACCGCCGCTGCCACCATTGTCGCGGAGGCGCGGAAGGAGAGACGACTGAGCGGGCCGAGACTTGTATTGCAACTGTGGTTCTGATTCTGATTCGCCAGTGCCTGTGCGTTATATGCAGGGTGGTTGCACAATGAAGGACCGGTCCGCCGACCCGCCGGGTCGGTGGACGGTGCCGACACGTGGGGAAAGTGACGGCTATTTCTATGTAACAAAGCTTGAACGTGTACTCTCTTTATCATGATATGGAAGAAGGGAATCGGTCCCACAATATTTTACAAGTTGATTAGGTACTATGTCATGAATATATCTTCACATCAGATAAAAATTCGTTCTTCAATGCGGATGTCTATTTGTTATCAGTAGTGTTCCGGTGAGAGAGGCCACCGAGCGACTCAAACGGTCGTCTCGGCTCCGGGCTCGGAGCCCGTAGCTCTGGGGATATGTCATTGGTCGAGCGAGCTCCCGCCCAAGCTGCCATTCACCGGTTGACTTGTCAATATAGCGGGGTTACGCTCAGCCAGGAACAGGGCAGTGCAGTGCACGATCAAATTTGAGAGCTCAATATTTTGAATTTACGTGCCTGCCTAATGCCTTCTGCAGGAAAGGGAGGAATGTCCGATGAAAATAACTTATAATTATCTCGTTCGTTCGGCTAAATATTGCTTATCGAGGCTATGGAGTTATGTCCGGTAGCTGGTGCAGGCGTAGCCAATTCAGCAATTTGGTACCGGTGTCTATTATTCTCGAAAGTCGGAAGGGACTTCACTTCGGTCCCGCCCTCTTTGCCCTCCCCCTCCTCTTCTCCCCGTGCCTGGGCCCAGCCCCAGAGTACTGAGTGGTCTCCCAACTAAAGCTTTATTACTCGTCACTACGCGGCGCTGGCGTCTGCTGAGCTACGTCGGCAGCTGACGCGCGCTGTTGTGCCGGGGAGGGGAGGGGCGACGGGAAGGGAGCGGAGCGTTCGTGCGATTGTGTCGGCCGGTCCGGCAGTTTCGGAGCCGAGTGCGCGGTGGTGGGGTGGTGCGGCCGGGCGGGCTGATGGAAAGTCTTCGGCTGCAGCGAATTCGCCTTTGCTGAGGAGCTGCGCCAGTGAGGAGGGTGTTGTGTAGATTGTTGAGGTGGTGCCGGGGCCGCGTGAGGGAAAATCCAGCCGCTACTGACCAAAAACCTGTGTGTTGTGGGCCGGACACCAAGCGACCCTGCGGACCGTGAACTGAATGGAGTGACGACGGAGCTCGCAGAACGGACCAGGCCTCAGCGACTCGGCAACCATGGTAAGAAGCCGTGGCTACACCACGGGACACGGGACGCGACGGTACCCTCTTATCACGGTGATAATCACGGTTAAATTTGATTGAGGACCCCCACCCCACCCCGATCGTTTCTGTGGCGATGCGCTCATAAAACCAGACACGACCAAGTACCAATGTCTGTCTGTGACAAGCGCCGTATGAAGGTTTTGGATGATCCTGAAAGGATTTAAGAGCTACTGTGGGAAACTGTAGTAAGATTAAGTTTAAACTTGATAAGCTACAGTTTTACACGAAGTTCACAATTTTATTATTAATTCCTCTTAAAATTATGTCTATGCATTGAGATGATTACCTAATGATGTACCGAATGGTACAACCGAATGGTGATCGCCAGGGACAGAGATCACATGTCACTGCGCAGCATCAAGGCATCTATCCGTGATGACCTAACCAGCCATTGAACACAACGGTCGTGTATTTTGTGTCATATTAGGTCCACTGTATTGATCGGTCTTATTAGGTGTCTTTTATGAAGTGTTCATTGTGTGCTCATATTGCATTGTATATGACGAAGGTCGCAGAATAGCCCTGCACCAGTGGAGCGACCTTATTCGGTAAATACATACATACATACATACATACATACATGAACATCGATAGGGAAATGGAATAGTTGAATGCATTTGATGTCATGCGGTGGAAATTAATCTGTAAAAATGCCACCTCTTGCAAACTTTCCGTGATTTTCATGACGTTTACCACATGCCGAGATATCCCTTTAACATTAGCACGTGCATTTGGGAAATGGCTTCGGCCCGCCTCGGCTAATGTTGAAGGTATTTGGGAAACGATTCGGCCTAGGGCTTTTTGATTTTACCACATGCCGAGATATCCCTTTAACATTACCACGTGCATTTGGGAATATATATTCCCGACCGGGGCTGGGAAAATGCGTTTTATTCCCCGAGGTTTTTGCCAAAAACCGAGGTGAATAAAACTGCATTTTCACAGCCCAAGGTTGGGAAGAGATTTACCACATGCCGTACCGACATGTGGTAAACCGATACCGATCTCGGCATGTGGTAAATGGCTTCGGCCCGCCTCGGCTAATGTTGAAGGTATTTGGGAAACGATTCGGCCCTAGGGCTTTTTGATTTTCCCAGACAAAATTTTACTGAATGTTCTGAGCGGAAGAACCAATTCCAAAGAAGATATTTACGGATTGTGTGTTCACTAACAGCAACAGCAGAAGTGAGCAAAATTAAGTGACTGCGTTTTCACTTACTTTTGCTGTCAACGTAATTCAACTAAACAAGGGTATAGGTATCGTTCAAATGCCAATGTATTTATTGCTGCAGAACATGGTCAGCGAACTGATTATTACACTTATTACAACATAATGCACGCAAAAAACGAACACTTTAAATGCGCGAAGCATCTTAACAAGCCACAATGAAACATTTGATATTGTTCCAGCTGGGATCCAAGACGCGTTTGATTAAGCGGTTCACCCAATTTTCAGTTTTCCTCACGGTTTCTTCACTCCTGCTGGACTTCATATCTTTATTCTAACTTCTGGCGCTTCATCATCTTCATCCTCATCTTTTTCAAACCCTAAATAAGGGGGACGTAGGTAAGGAATTTTATCTTTCATACTCAACGCAGCACAATAATAAAAAACACAAAAAAATAATCACGGTGACTATAAATATGATCATAGTATAATATAATATTAACACAATATTTAAGAATATAATAATAATAATATATACCTATCAAAAGAATATGATATTAACTGTTGCGCCGGTACGGCATGTGGTAAATCTCTTCCCAACCTTGGGCTGTGAAAATGCAATTTTATTCACCTCGGTTTTTGGCTACGGACCTCGTGCCTACCGGCACTCGGTCCTCCGCACAAAAACCTCGGTGAATAAAACGCATTTTCCCAGCCCCGGTCGGGAATATATATTCCCAGACAAAATTTTACTGAAATCTGAATAATCTGAGCGGAAGAACCAATTTCAAAGAAGATATTTACGGATTGTGTGTTCACTAACAGCAACAGGAAAAGTAAGTGACTGCGTATTTAACTTACTTTTGCTGTCAACGTAATTCAACTAAACAAGGTTATCGTTCCAATGCCAATGTATTTATTGCTGCAGAACATGGTCGGAATAATCATTATTTCTACATAATCCACGCAAAAAACGAACAATTTAACGCCACAATGAAACATTTGATATTGTTCCATGGCTGGGATCCAAGACGCGTTTGATTCAGCGTTTCACCCAATTTTCAGTTTTCCTCACGGTTTCCTCACTCCTGCTGGACTCCATATCTTTATTCTAACTTCTGGCGCTTCACCATCTTCATCCTCAGCTTTTTCAAACCCTAAATAAGGGGGAATTAGGAATTTCATCTTTCATGCTCAACGCAGCCCAATAATGAAAAACACAAAAAATAATCACGGTGACTATAAATATGAACATAGTACTAATATAATATTAACACAATATTAAGATTATAGTGTAAAATATCAAATGAATATGATATTAACTGTTGCGCCGGTACGGCATGTGGTAAATCTCTTCCCAACCTTGGGCTGTGAAAATGCAGTTTTATTCACCTCGGTTTTTGGCTACGGACCTCGTGCCTACCGGCACTCGGTCCTCCGCACAAAAACCTCGGTGAATAAAACGCATTTTCCCAGCCCCGGTCGGGAATATATATTCATGTTTGTAAACGTACCGATGCTACTGGTCATTTTCTCAGCAGCGATGCGAAATAGTTGCTTCAGAACGGATTTCACCGCCTCCGGATGCGTGGGAAGGAATTTTGCATTTTCATTGAAAAACGACTCCAGTTTCTGTTTTCACTGTGAAGCGGGTGCACCTCCCACGTGAAAGCCGCGCGCCCGCGCTCACGGCACGTGGCACACGTGGCGTGCTGTCTGGCTGAGTCCGTGTGAAGGCAGCTGCGTTCCCGTCTCACCGGCTGAACAGCTGCAGTTTGCACGTGGCGGTAGATCTTATCATCATATGAACGAATTGTTTATACCTAACTTATATAAGGAGAGATGAGTAATCGAAATAACATGTTCCTGAATCGACCCGACCACGAGTTCATTATTAGTTCCACTAGTTTTTTTTTCTGAATGAATGCCACCCGTCACGTGAACTATCGATTTCCATTCATACCCGTCATAAGACAGTAGAAAGTCTGGAAGTGAGATCGGCATTTATTGGAAGCGCTACAATCACCACATACCTGTCACGAAAGTAATCTTGGTCGTAAGGGTACAGCGGAAATCGAGTTTAGCTCAAGGCCCTTGCTATCGAGCGATATCGTGCACGTGAGCTGTTTGACTCAGCGAGTTCGCGTTAGGTGTGTCAGGAAAATCGCACCCTCCTGGTTCCGGTGTGTGAGGTCACCTCGTCGGACCGATAGCTGACCGTTGTCCTTCCGCTTGGTCGGTCGCGGCGTGTCTGTTGTGGTGCTGAATCATTACTTCTTCCGGTGTGGTGTGTGGTCTTCCACGCGGCGACTTCTGTGATGCTTTTTGACCTCGTCGCTTGTCCTTAGTGGTCTTTGCAAGTTCTCCGTGTGTTCTGTAGTTTTTCACTACTCTTGTAGTTGTACGAGTAGCGATGTTTCAATTTGTCTGTTCTGCCGGTCTCAGTCAATCCCATCATTCCCCTCCTTTTCCACCGCTTCATCCCTGTTTGCGTCTCCTTCCCCTCAGCCCCCTCGCCTCGCCTGGCAGCCCCCTTCCGCACGTGCTCTGGCGGCCTCTGCAGACCCCCTCCCCCGCCCTCCCCCGTCAGCAGAGTGGAACGGCCTCAGCCGCGGAGGTGCTGTGACGTCATACATTCGTCGAATGGCGCCGGACTGGTCACTCCAGTCACGGGAAGGGAGGGGGGGGGGGGACTGAGTCACGGCTGGGAGACCCAGCGGAGGCTGACACTGCTTACAGCGTCAGGTGGAGATGCTGGTGTTTTCTGTTTTGAACGGAAGATGCAGTTGCTTGTCTCAGTCCCTCGACATCCCATCTAACCCCATCACACCGCTCTCAGGTGCCGCCCGCCCCGCAGTTTTCATCCACCTGTTGTTGTTGATGAGTTCCTACCCGCCCGGCCGGGCGGTGCCGGTCGCATCCCACCCCGTCCCACCTCGCTGGGTTCGTCCCGACCCACTCCACTTTCACTGTATGGGCCTCTGGGCTCCGGGCAGCGACACCGGGCCCCGGTCGGTGGGGCCCGAGGAGGAGGGGGGGGGGGCACTACGGGCCGGGGTGATACGTGGGGCGGGGGCCGGGGTGAGCGGTGGTGGTGACAGGTGGGGAGAAATCGACCCAACGTGACACTGTGGAATGTGGATGGTGTGCTGCTAAATAAATCATAGGCAACTGGATGGAAGAGAATAGGTAATGTGTGGAGGTGCAAACTAGCGATGTCAATTAAGAAAAATTGTGATACCGATACCAAACCAAATACCTACCAACAATGCCCATGGAAAATACCGAAACCGAACCGACTTGAGAATATGAGGGTGATACCAACTTTTTACCCAATTCTCCACCCCTTTTACCTACATTAGAGAGGATTCGTAATACCAACAAAATACCAAAAGCATTCTCCTTGAAATACCAAATACCAAGTTGGTATCGGTTTGGTATCGGTATACCAAAAGTTGATATTCGATTGACATATCTAGTGCAAACAGGTGGTTTGGTTTATCGTCATGCATCTACATTTTACATATCTTTAGCCTGTTGGTAAGCACTCGACTCAGTAGTGCATTTCAAAATCACCTTCTTTTGAATTTTACAGATCACGGCTCAACGTTTTCTGACGTAAATACATTTTGTTCTTCTTGCCGGTATGTTTTTTTTTTGCTACTTGCTTTCATAATTTCTTATATCTTCATTTTTCTGTATATGAGATAGCCTATCATATTGTCCCTTATATCGATTTGAATGACGCATGGACTGTATTGATTATCAGTCCATAACCATGTTTCCTTTTCTCTTTTTGTTATACATACTCTGTTAATTTCACGGCCTTCTATTGACAATGCATCTCAAATGAGCAGTTTGCCATGCCTTTACGGTTGGATGATGGCTTGCGAGCGAATGTCATGCTGTTTGTTAGGCAAGTAGAAACATTAGTATAATATCCCTTCAAATTATGGGATAAGATCACTCGGAATGGTCAGGACCCGAGTCCCGGGTAATTGCAAACTCGAAGCGTACCCGCCTGCGGTTCTCCAGCCATCTGACGGAGAAAAAGGTCGTATTTCTTGCGTCGGATCATTCTCCCAACCCCGCCATTATTTTCCAATTTAGTTTCGGTAATTTAGGTCCATTACCGCCTAATGAAATCAATCTGTTATTTTCCGCCACATCCCGCCGATGAATGATCTCTATCATTTCGCTCAATAGTTAGTCACCGCCGAGCGTATATCTGATTCAGCCAGGGGATCATATCCACGCGGAACACGTGTGAATGAAGTCGATATCTGTGTCTTTAGAGGGCGACCTAGCCTTTTTACCGCCAGGAAAAAAAAAACAGGAAAATGTTGGCAAGGTGGTCTCACCAATCCACCGTCCTCCATTTCCCCTCTCCGCTGTGGGTGGTCTGGGCTGCGTGCTCCCGCCTCAGTCCGCCCCTCCACCCACCCCGCCACCGGAACTGCAGCTTTGTACACTCCACCTCCCCGCCACCGGACCCAGCCTCTGAAGGAGGTGCGTTTATGCGGCGCACGCCACCGCCGCTGTGTTCCGGCCAAACTGAACCGGGGCTGACGAACGGTCCCCACACCACGGTGGCAAACGGTCACAGCTCGTGGTGACGAACGTTTGACTACTCACGGTTGGGTGGAGGGTGCTGACTGCTGGGGCACCGGTGCTGCATTGCTCACTGTTTCACTGTATCCGCCCGGTTGGCCCCGTAATGTTGTTATCAGGTGAAATTTGTATCGCGTTTTTTTTTTCTCTCTCAAAAAGTAAGACGATTTTGTGTTAAAGATTAAACTTTAGATGTCTTTAAATTGCGTTCCTCAAACGATTTTGTTTTATTGATATTCGGGGTAGTTATTTCTTCTTAACGTTTACAAAGTTTTAATGTTTCTGGCACAGACATATTGGGGTCCATTTCCTAAGCATTTCGTCTGCTTCCACTGCACTTATGCAATCTCTATCTAGAGTTAGACGTATCGCTCTTTTACCCCATGACTAGGTATACACCGATGATGCCGTAGCCCGTCAGCTGATTGAGCCGTCTGAACTGACTCATAGCCAGCTGATCGTGACATGATCGTACCCCGTGCATAAACCGCACAGTGCACGGATCACGACCCACGGCAGGTGTCCAACTCACAACTCACAGCAGCGCGGCTTCCAACTTTTAGAGCCAGAGCGGTACGAACAGGTAAACCCGCTACGCCGACAGCAGAGCGGTGGCAGCGCTGCCTCGCCTGTCAGACCTTGAGCCATGCACGCGCGGAGTGGAACTGAGCATGACCGCGCACCGGCAGCCGGTCGCCGGTGAATGGGCTCGGCTGGCCGGTCTGTCCGCGGGAGTCCACCGTATTCGGAAACGGCCGACTGATATGGCAGTCGCGTCAGATGGTGTGTTGACTCAGGGCAGTGGGGTGATAAATGACGGGGCTCGGAGTCTATCCGAGGCGCGTGGGTGAATAGGGAGAGACGAGGGAGTCCACCAAATCCTAACGTCTCCCCAGTCCCACCCGCTGCCATTCACCCCAAACGACGCACGCAGTAACTACAGGCTGGGTGACTGAGAGCAGCACCCGGACACTGAAATCATGGGGTCTGGTGTGTCCCGGTTAGAGCGGAGTGTCGAGAGACAGCTGTTGGACGGCCGCGGACTCCGCCTGTCCGCTGCGGACGCCGTCTTTCCGCATTCTGTGCTGGTGTGTCACATTCGGACCTTTGTCGAGCGAATGGGAGGTAAGCAGCCGCTGCCTATACATATCTGAACTATCAATGTCGATTGATTGGTTTGATCAGGTCTGTTCAACAAAGTGACTATCATGATTGGGGTTTTCCGTTTCATTGCGTGACTTGTAGTGGACGAAGATTTCCGAGGCGAACCTTTGTAGTATGTCATTGTCACCAGCTTATATTGCGTAGAACGTCACCATCAACCGCGACGTAGGGGAGAGTGGGGCAAAGCGGCCACCCGGGGCAAAGCGGCCACCCATCGTTTTAGCCCTTCATAGCTGGCGTCAGTTCCAATTTATGGTTTCCAATTATACTTCTCTTCACGGTCGTTCGAATGAGCCAGACCGGGGTTTCAGACCCATCACCATTGTTCTGCGAAACACGGAAAAGCATTTCTTGCCAGGTTACCAACTATGTTTACAATTTTTAAATGTTATGTTATTCCATAACCGTTTGGAATTTTTATAAGCGTTCTTGTCCATGCATTGCATAGTTATCGTACATGTATTCTACCGATTTTAATGTTTTTTACCCCACTAATAGCTCAGCTGGAATATTTTTGTCTCGGACGGTATGCGCGGGGCAAAGTGGCCGGGGCAAAGTGGCCACCCCCCAATTGGCCATAAGTTGCTTCCATCTGGATAAAAACATTATTTATATTCAAATGTGTCGTCATGCATTCATCTTGGCCACTTTTCAGTTGCATGAGTTACCAAATAATGCAATTAAATGTTTATTTTCATGAAAATCCTTTCTTTGTTTACCTACAGGTGGAAGATGATAAAGTAAACATCCATCCTCGCTTAAACCTAGTCACCATCAAATACCCTAGTCGTGCACGAGGCAACTATTTTGTTTCTCATATCGGGACTTGAGAAGACGCCGGCGGCCGCTTTGCCCCAGGGTATGGGGCAAAGTGGCCAATATGCATAGGTTTAAAGTTTTGTCAATATCTTTCATATGTGAATGCCTTTGGAAATAAAACGCAGTTGAAATAAAAGGCAACTTACTAGGGATCACATTGGTATAGAAAGAATCTTTCCAGGTTTAAAAATCAAGCGTTGGCATCGTGAGAAGCGTTAGGGTGGCCGCTTTGCCCCACTCTCCCCTAAGCCAGGCTGCCTCTGTGGACAGTTTTATCAACACTGCGGCTCTGAATGAAACGCCTCACTTCACCACCACTCATCCATCCATTCAGTACACCAAAACAACTCTAAATAAACCGCATTAGCTTCAACTCCTGGTCGGATTCCTTCACAGTCACGTACGAGAGACATCCGTGCCATCCATCAGCGTTGAGACATCCACCGCCACGCGCCCACGTGCGTCACGTCGCCCACGTGCGGCCGTCTATGTGTGGAACGTGTGGGGCGTGTGGGCGGATCCTACAAAGGTCTGTGAATGAGAGGTCGGGTGGTGGGCGCTCTGTAACTTTGTGACCTTGTGCGCAGCGGCGGGTCTCTCGCGCGGACGCGGCGCAGTGGCTCTCGCGTTCGACCGCTGACGCGGACGCGATTGGACCAGCAGATTACGATAGAGCGGCGATAGGGGCAGAGGTGCGACGTGTCGTGGGCCGCTGTGGTCGCGACGGGGGTCAATAGTTGTGAAGGGCGCTCCAGCTGCGGCAACCGGGATTCCACAAGCTCTGTTTGACAATAAATTTATCCAAACGGACCGATTCTGACCTACCCTTCCTTACCTCTTGGGATCACACATGTCCCACCAGGCCCAGTCTCTCGCAGGTCCCACTCCATGTCCCACTCCCAATGGCTTCCGCCACCCCGTCCCACAGCGGCTCGTCGGTGGGTGCGGTGGGTGCGGTTGGCCCGCCCGCCATGGCCGACCCTGAATGGTGGCGTGCCGCGGCAGGGGACGGGGTGATAATGGTGCCGCCCGGCCGGCCGTTTTGTCCCCGTCCACCCCACCCTATCGTTCCACATTGTCCGCCCCGCCCGGCGGCCTAAATGAGCGGATCATGTCTCATCCTATCCGGGCTGATCTGGCCCGCGCTGTTATGGCAGCCCCTTGTACCTACAAAACATCCCAACGACTTCAAAATTCAAATATATCTTTTTTATCACTTCTTTGTAAGGCGTTGAGTGTGAGCACTAAGCAGCTAATCCTGTTCACTTATCTATTCATTTCACATAATATTGAGTCGCGCTTATGCCTAATGCACCGATCTTACTATTTTACCCGTAAAACTAAAGGGAATTATTCTAAGGCCGTTTGGCTTCATCGCATTTGTTGATCACATTACACAATGATATATGAGCTCATTTCAACCACTATATAGTCATATGTAGATCTGAGCTCATTCCGTTGTTTGTGTCATATTTGTCTCTGCTGCGGTCGCTCGGGCTAGCTTTACTGTCGCATTATATTTCAACACCGGATACCCTCGGTTGAGCCGTTGAGGCCCACCCGGCGGGGTTTGTCGGGTCTGTCGCTGTAGCCCCACCCGGTAAGCTGTGTTGGGTCTCACTGACCCCACCTAGCGGGCTCTGTCGGCTCAGTCACTGTCCCAGCCCAGCGGGGCCTGGACTGTCGGGTCTGTCAACACTGCCACTGTCAAAACAAACTATGTATATTGGCTCAGTCTTCCAATTCTGATCACTCAATACCCGCAACCCAGTGTCGTTCCTTGGACTAGCTGCGCTAACTCTCTGCTACCGTCTCTATCTTCAGGTGTACCACTGGCAGTCCAACGATGTCAAGCGCTCGGGCGTCGACGACATGGTGCTGCTGCCCCGCATCAGTGAGGACGCCATCGTCGACAACCTGAAGAAACGCTACAGTGACGACTGGATCTACGTATCCTTTGGATCAGACCGGATATGACAGGGCTGCTATGTGCATCAGGAGGCTAGGGCTATCCTTGTGTATCAGGTTAAAGATACTAAACGGTTCAGAGTTGACTTGAGTGTAACGGTGTGCTTCTTTAAAGGCAGTCGGTTGTTGCCGTTATCTGGCCCATAAGGACTTCCTAATGGTGAGTTTACAGTGCCAGCCAGCGGTACTGTTCAGACTGCGTGTGTGGTGTTTTTGCCCCCGTGAGTGTAGCCATTCGCCTCCAGCAGCCATGAAACAGCCCATTGTCCGTGCTCGTTAGTCGCTGGAGCGATCAACTGCTCTGGACAGATTGTCTCGATTTACTCAGCTCCGAGTCTGTATCCATTCAGGTGAGCGATGTAGGTTAGGTCATTGCAATGGACGTTAAAAGCTTAGGTTTCGCCTTCATTTGTGATTTTTCTGCATATCATTTTGTTTTTGGATAGCACTATAGATTTTTAAATCAGAGCCATTTCGATATCATTAGTTTTTCTGCTAGTTGAGGTCACATATGGAACCAAAGGTTCCAAAAAAGTGCCGTAGCTTTTGCGCCTGGGTGCAGAGCAGACTATGTTTTTGCTCTCGCCCGGGTCCAGTTATCAGTCTGCCCCCTCCCCCACCTCCTCCTCCCCTGTCCGGCCAACCAGCGGACATCCGCTGCGATCATCACTTTACATAGCCGATCCGAGACACATCACTTACTTAAATGTATATGGTACATGTAGCTAGTCGGGCGGTCCGCGGTTCATCACTTTATGCACAGTTGACCTGACGCGACGGTCGGCGCTCCGCTGTTGTGGTCCGAGTTTGTGGGGTCTGTTTTGGTGATATGTCTGTGGTCCGGACCGGGCCGTCTGGTCCGTACCCTGGTCCTCTGGTCTGTAGATAAACTGTCTACACGCCGGTCACCGAGGCGTCGAGCTGCCGTTTCATCACGCAGAGCGACGGATGTGGAGCTGGGGTGTTGATACCGAACCTGCACGTCGGGTCGTCCCCTGACCTCTGCAACTGACAAACAAACAAGGGCCTTTCCATGCTGTTTGCGATACGGTGCGACAACAAACATTGGAGTGACGGCCGCTGCTGGTGGCAAGTGATAGCAGAAGACCTTTTACTCTTCGAAGCGCTTATGTTTCCAGTGACTGTCATGCACATCGCGGTTAAGCTTGCTATCTGTTTATGTTGAGTATCCATGACAGGTTGGATGATTATGTAAATAATAAACCAAATTATTACAAATGCATTCAAATATATTCAAAAGACACACAAAGCTTTCGGTTCATGGAACCTTGATCACTGTGCAAATGAGTATAACAATCGCTGTAACCGTCTAAAAATTCTTTGAAATTAACCCGCGCCCCAGTGGCGGTCTCAGCCAACTTCGCCCTAGTGAGGGGGGGCATATGTTACCACCCACCTCTAACTCAAAAACTAAGAGGGCTAGAAAGACGCGGTAAAAGCAGTCGATAGCTCTCAATGCGTACGTTTGAAAGTATTTCAGTCATTTTTCACCTTGGAGCAATATTGGGGTCACCAGAGGTCATCAAAGGTCAAAATTTGCCAGTTGTCATTATATTTTTCAGAAAATATGCCGTTATCTCAGGAACTATGGTAGCTAGAAAAACGCATGGAAGAGCAAACGATAGTTTTTGAACTCTTCTTTTGAAAAGGTCATTATCAATATTGACCTCAGGTCAACGGTTTAGCCTCCAGAGGGCAAAAACTCCAAAAATAGCTGTTTTTACGAAAAGTGTTTTTCGACAATAACCTACGACTAAAAAAAGCCACGACATTTCTATTGCCAGAATCGTGTTCCCCTCGCCGAGACGCGTCGAATGAACTATAATTTGACCTTGAAAGGTCAACTTGAAAATTTGACCTCAGGTCAAGGTCATGACTTTACCGGAAAAGGTCATGCTGCATATCAGTCGATGCGTCTCAACAAGACAAACACAATGAGACCATCCCCAGCGTTCTATCTCTTTCCAATCGCGAGTTATTGGCAAAAACTGTTTGTAGCCTCAAGAGACCTCGGATGACCTGTCTAGAGGCTATCAGTAAAAATGACACCTTGGTCATCACGAGTGGACTAAATGATTGTGATTCTGAAATATTTGGACTGTTCCGATGCGTACACACGGATCTAGAGGCATTTTCATTTTTCTCCATTGACTTGTAATGGAAAGGTCACGCCACTGACCTGACCTTAGGTCACGGATATAAAAAATCCGAGATATACAAATTGTAGGCGCCCATAACAGCATGCAATCCACCAAGTTTCAAACCTTTCTGACAAACACTGCAGGCTGGACATGATTGCAAACTTTTTTTTAGGCTTGGTCAGTTAACTTGACCTGGTGACCTGACCTGACATGACCTGGGGTCAAAAATTTCATACATTGTCCAAAATTGATGTACCAAAAGCTACCCCAAGCGGCGCGGCGCTACGCGCCGCGGTTTTTTATTCACACGCAAAAAACGCGACAGGGTGGTAACATATGCCCCCCCCCCCACTGGGGCGAAGGTTAATCAGCCGCGTGTTTTCTTCTTCTGCTGGTCTACCACCGATTTTGCTGCCATTGACGACCATGTGATGAATCCGCTCCTACTGTTAAACGTTTCACGTGTGATGATGTGGGCTGCTACCAGGACCTTCCTTGTACCTTTCTTTATATTGTTTTCTAATATCTTCGTACCGTCCCAGTCAGGTAAGTGGTTATACTTTTCTATATGCAGTACTATTGCATTTGATGTTCGGTGAAATTTTACATCGCTTCTGTGCTCCTTCAAACGAACTTCCATCCCTCTTCCCGTCTCCCCAACGTACGTTCTTTGGCACCCTTTGCATGGTATTTCGTAAACTACACTTTTTTCATCACTGGTATCTTTTTTGGTTTCATGGTGCTTGACTAAATCTTGAGTTTTCTTTCCTGTTACTGTAGCTACTTTGATATGTGACTTTTCAAGTGCTCTTACTATGATATCAATATTTTTCGAATTTGGGACCGAAATCCATCTCTTTCTTTTGTTGGCTTTTCTTCTCGTGTCATCTTCGTGTACTTTGTTCGCACGTTGTTCGTCTCTTCTGTTGGCATCGTCGCCGTTTGCTTGGTTCGCGCGTCGTTCGTGTCTTCTGTCGGTCTCATCTTCGTGTGCTTGGTTCGTACGTTGTTCGAGTCTTCTGTTGGTGTCATCGTTTTGCGCTTGGTTCGTTTCTTGTTCGTATCTTCTGTTTTGTTCGTTTCTTCGATTTTTGATTTTTTCGGCTTTTTCTTTTTGTTTGATTAAAAATCCTCTGGGATATTTCAGTTTTTCGAACGAAGTATAAATATGATTGAACTCTTCCTGAATGAATTCATCGCTGCAGATTCTTAGCGCTCTGAGAAAGAAACCGATAACTATTCCGAAAAAATCTAAAATCGAAGAAACGAACAAAACAGAAGATACGAACAAGAAACGAACCAAGCGCAAAACGATGACACCAACAGAAGACTCGAACAACGTACGAACCAAGCACACGAAGATGAGACCGACAGAAGACACGAACGACGCGCGAACCAAGCAAACGGCGACGATGCCAACAGAAGAGACGAACAACGTGCGAACAAAGCACACGAAGATGACACGAGAAGAAAAGCCAACAAAAGAAAGAGATGGATTTCGGTCCCAAATTCGAAAAATATTGATATCATAGTAAGAGCACTTGAAAAGTCACATATCAAAGTAGCTACAGTAACAGGAAAGAAAACTCAAGATTTAGTCAAGCACCATGAAACCAAAAAAGATACCAGTGATGAAAAAAGTGTAGTTTACGAAATACCATGCAAAGGGTGCCAAAGAACGTACGTTGGGGAGACGGGAAGAGGGGTGGAAGTTCGTTTGAAGGAGCACAGAAGCGATGTAAAATTTCACCGAACATCAAATGCAATAGTACTGCATATAGAAAAGTATAACCACTTACCTGACTGGGACGGTACGAAGATATTAGAAAACAATATAAAGAAAGGTACAAGGAAGGTCCTGGAAGCAGCCCACATCATCACACGTGAAACGTTTAACAGTAGGAGCGGATTCATCACATGGTCGTCAATGGCAGCAAAATCGGTGGTAGACCAGCAGAAGAAGAAAACACGCGGCTGATTAATTTCAAAGAATTTTTAGACGGTTACAGCGATTGTTATACTCATTTGCACAGTGATCAAGGTTCCATGAACCGAAAGCTTTGTGTGTCTTTTTGAATATATTTGAATGCATTTGTAATAATTTGGTTTATTATTTACATCATCATCCTATCTGTTTATGTTTCGTCTGCATGGACATCAAGCAAACAATGAGGTGTCCAAAGGCTATCTATCGTCGCTGAGGGACTTCCCTTTGATAACCCGACCGGAAAGCTGAGAACAACAAACAGCAGTGACTCATTACGCGGCCTCCCTTATCTCCTGCCTGCTGACACCATATATAGGCGTTTCATCACTCGACAAGCAGTGCCTCGCCCTCCCTCTTCCTGCCACCCGTGCCCATTGCCCACTGACCGCCACCACTGCTATCAATTCATTTCTGCACGCTGCGTCCTCAATTCGGCCCGTATTTGTCCTGTGGGCGTGACGAGAGCCGCTGCAAACGGGTCCGATAGAACAGCACCGGACGGCCCGGCGCGCACGCTGCTGCCTCTGGTGTAGGAGTGGTGCGTGATGCGGTGCACATACAGAGCCTGGGTCGGCTAGACGATGTGATTGATCCGAATTACTTTCCAAGAAATGCCGTAAGATTCTATGATTGCGCTTTCCACATTTCGTCACAGTCTGGCAGTTTCGAATTTTTGTCAGCAGGAGAAAGTGCTCCAGAAGTGACTCTGGGGAACTGTGAGAATGGTATATTGCTCGAACTTGCTATTCTTGTTTTTTAATTGTGCACCGATACTATTGTTTCTCAGCTCTCTGGCCTGGGACTTCCATTGCTTTCCGATTTCGATCAGCTCA